TTCCCTGAAATATCACTCCGAAAGCACCCGGCAAAGCATTCCGCCCGGTGTCACAATATACTGACAACTGGTGAACCAGTTGATGCCATTCCATTCAAGCCAAAAGTGAGGTATTGCCAATCAAGGCGCTAAGAAATAAAAGACATTGATAATTAGAGAGAAATATAAAGATCCCAACTATTTCAATTGGCGCAGCAGATTTATTTTTGCCGCTTTTGTGTCCTCAAATAGAGGACACAAAAGCATTTCCACAATTCTGCCTGGGTTTCAACATTAGTCGCCTCTTACGATACATGCAATGGATAACAGCAGGGGTATTATTTTCTCGATCTCCGACCTGCAGTGGTATTCACTAAGAATGCCTAAAAATCGTTTTGCACCCTACTCTAAAAAGAAAAGTCTGTTTGCATTTAAAGTCCGTATTTAGCTGGGAACAAGACGGTTACGTTAGGCAGAGCTTCCATAATTACCATATATTATCATTCAGCAGCATCATATGTTTTATAAAAAATGCCATTCGAAAACGCGAAGCTTGCAATAACGCTCGCGCCCTTAAAGTTTGAATGACCTTAATTTGATTTTGTGAAGGATTGTTAGCTTAACGAAACGTTTAAAAAGGTACGTGAAGGAAAGCGAGTATAATTTTATAGACATGTGTTATTAAAGTTGATAAGTGAATTCATAAACATATATATTTTATGATTTTCACGTTAATCAACATGTAAATATCCGTAACTTGATATTAACAAAAATCTGATGACGCCGGTCGTGATATGTACGGTGTAATGAACGATATTTTTAATTACAAATAAAAATAAAAGCAACCCCGGCAGTCTGACATTCCGTAAATTTATGAACACCATATTTAAATTATCTTAGCAGGCATTACGATTTTGAACAATGAAAGTACGTCATGTCAGGTTAGTAACCAAGGCAATGTCACCGGATGCCACGATATAACACGCATGTCTTTGTGTATACTGTAACGGATGCGTGCCTACTGTTCGTTACCAAGTTCTATCCTTGACCCAGTAACTCTTGTAACAAATAAATGCCGATAATATATACAAAATAATGGCCGTCTATCTGACTCAAATAGCTATTACCTAATGATTCCAATTACTATTGCCTCAAATCACTACTGCCTAAACTACACCCGGTAGATACTTTAATTTTATTACAATATACTTCTAACACTAATATAGTCAAAAAGCAACTAAAACACTGTATCACAATATTTCTATCACCCTGTATCAACAGTAAATAGCCCCTTACTGTGTACACCCTTTACCGCGACAAACCTTGACCAAGTCACCCTTTATCGCCACTACCTTTTGACCAAGTCACCCTAGAGGCCTTGGTAAACCCTGAAGACTTGATAAAACCTGTGTCTTGGTAGCTGTCACTCTGTATCTATCAACAGTACGTCGCCCTGGACTGTGATTCCCTGTGACTATGTACACTACCCAGTGATACAATAAATTTTGACCAAGAACTATAAAGGAATACAGTGGAACCCTAGCTTATGCAGCTAGGCCCAAACTTAGTCAGTTTGATCACTGTTTACTCTTTCCACTTTGACCGCCAGAATGAAAGAGAACCTTCCCTCTGACGGAACCTCTATTTAAATACTTAGCCATCTAATGAACTGCCTTCTTTCATTAGCCAATCAAAACTACTCTTTCTTCCAAATCACAAAGAAATAACTAGTCTATACTATAGATCATTTATTGAACAAGGCAATTACCAAAGAATCATTCAATGCGTCCCGCGTTTCACATTAAGTAAAAAAACAAAAGTTTATTGCAGTTTGTCTTCTATAGGTCTTTGAATCAACTGTTATTATAAAATCTTATCTTATATTCTCAGTCGAACCATTCTTCTTCCTCAATCTTCACAACAAACTTCCCATTATCCGTGTACGATGTCGTTGTCTTAATGGTTCTCCTGTGGTTTGAAAAGTTCACCTGGACAGCTAAATTCATAATGTTTTACATTGCCTCACTGTGTACCTGTATCTCTTGTCCGTATTCCTGGTTCACGTACACTACCTGTGAAGGATTGCACAGCAACACTCGAAACATGTGCATATTCGTATAGCACGGTAGGTCTCTTTGGTCTAACACAGGGTTCGGACGACATGTTTCTCTCTCAGTAACCATTTCTTCCATCTCAGATGTCTTAGATAAAGCTTCTGAATCGTCCTCTGATATTTACCCTAGGATGTCGAACACATTCCCTGGATTATAATCGTCCAACGAGTCTTTTCGTACTGGGTGTTTCCTCTCTTTGTGTCTCTTCAGGCAAACATTCTTCTCCGTGACATATTTGCACTCCTTACACTCAAACTTCTTCTTCTCCCTGGCATTGGTTCCACAGATCACCAAGTGCGCTTTCCACTCTCCATCTGATGGTAGTCTGTCGCGACACAGCGGACACACCAAACATGGTTTTCTCGGAGTTGTTTTCACTTGTGACATCTTCCTATAACACACAAACATACACATATACCATTTTCTGTATTTTACAGTATATAGTCAGTCATCCAGACTGGTCTCCTTCTGACACGGCCTTCTGTGGTATCTGGAAGGTCTACAATCTCGTTCACCTCACGCTCTGTTGACCCATTGTCTACCTGGGCAACCTCGCCATCTGTACGAGTCTCACTTTCACCTTTAAGAACACGGGATTGGCATCTGGGCATCCTGTCAATATGACTGATATGTTTTTTTCTTTTTCTTTCATCACTAACAACATTGTAAATGACATTTGATACTTTGTCAACTACCTAGAATGAACCTTGCCAAGAACTCTTTTATGACCTGGCAACCTTCTTTTGAGAGAAAAACACATAGACCAACACTCCCTTCTCGTAACTATCCCATTTTAGTTTCAGGTCATGGTTATGTTTTTGTCTCAACATGAGCTGAAACCAAGCCCACTGACTTTGCAAAACGGGTTTAGACTCGTAGATCATAGAACATATCAACCGGGGTAGAAACCTCTCTCCCTAACATAAGCGTGTTTGGAGTAAACCCTGTACTTTCCTGTTCTGTTGACCGGTACGCCATCATAACGTAAGGTACAGTGCTGTGCCAAAAATAAAAAAATAAATCCAAGATGGCTGCCATTTTTGTCAGCTTGACACTCCAGAAATTAAAGTCATTTGCTACGTAATCATCATGACTTAAACTCACCTAATACTTTTGGATACATCCCTTGGCTTTGCTTACTGCTTTCATGCGCTTTGGGATTGATTTGTACGGTTTTTGAATGAATTCCAGGGATATTTCTGTCCGTATTGTGCGAATTGCATCCTCCAAAATTACACGAGATTCGATGCTGTGGGCTTGTTTCTGAAGTTCAATCTACATTTTCTCCAAACATTTCAATTATATTAAGGTCTGTACTTTGGGCTGACCATTCCATGATACTGAGTCTATTTTCCTCAATATACATTTTCATCACACGAGCACGATGTACCGGAGCAGTGGTTCATCTACCCGGGGCAATGGGTATGCGTCCTTTATCGTTACCTTGTTCAAGGCACAATAGTCCACACAGAACCTTAAACTGCCGTCTTTCTTCTGTACCAAGACGACGCCCGATGCCCGCGGACAAGACGATGGTTCTATAATTCCTCTGTTTAACACACTTTGGACCTGCTGATCAACTTCCTCTGCTGCATAGTGTGGAAATCGCATTGGGAGTTGTTTAATAGGCCTAGCATTCTCAGTATCTATCGTATGCTTCACCATACTCGTTCTTCCCAAATCATCGTCTGATTTAGCACACACATCCTGTGACCTCAATAGGAGTTGCTTGATCTGTTCTACCTGCTCTGGAGCCAAGTCCTCTCTAACTTCATCGTAGAATTGAACAAGATGTTCTGGTAAATCTTGATATTTAGAACAACGTGTATCATCAACCACGTCCTGGTCAAATACTTTATCAACTGGGCTGATTTGTCGTATGTGTGTATCACGATACACTTTCACAGGATGATCCGATGGATTGTGTAAGCGTATAGGAACAGTTTTCTGTGCCTCGCGACGGCCCGAGCTACCAGAGCCTTTCTTGTTTTCACAAACTTCTCACAAGACTATGATACAGGCGTCACTACGAAGTTGTTCATTGTCTGGAACTTGCACTTTTCCCTCACTAATTATCTCTGATATTGGCGCTATACTGAGCGTCTCCTTCATACTGACTCGGTAGTATCCCAAATTACCTTGCCAGGACAAGGAACTGTCATTCTGACCAATTCTCATCTCTCCTTGAGCACAATCAATACCGCTTTTGCTTTCTTTCAGGGAGTCTTAGCCTATGATTCCATCTAACTGCATGTCAACCAAGACCGCTGTACACTCACAACTGTAATAGTCTATAGTTATACAACAAAATCCTTTCCTTACCAATGCCAAGGGTAAGCCATTGGCTCCCAGTTATCTCGCGTCATGGGTTGAAGCTCTAGCCGGTTCCGGTCATTAACGGTTTTGTATGTTTGCTTTGACACTAATGACACAGAAGCACCTGTGTATATCAAGAACTTTGCCTGAATTCCATTGATATTCAAGTGTACAAAAAGTCCTGCCTCCGCACCTTACATTCTTGTACACATTTCTAGTGACTAGCGTTTGATGTTTTATCTGTCGAGTCCTTTGCTAACATTGCCGACTTTAAAGTGCTACCACACTGAAATAACACGCCGAGGGCACCCGGCACAGCATTCCGCATTACTGAAATGTAACGGTGCCGCTTTATAAACTTTTTTTTATTTCATTTTGTTTTCAGTCTTTCAAATTGCCGCCACAACCGTCATAATATTGACAGTATCCAGCCTTCTATCTGTTAGAATGTCACACAATGTTGTCTGTTAATGTCATTTTAGATCTGTGTTTCTAATATTGTTTTCAAAGCCGTAATATGTATGGTGTTTACATATTATGCCCGTTTAAGCGGTCATATTGATTTGAGCCTTCTACCTGTTGTTATTTTAGACCTTCTCGAGACTTCCGATAAACATTCTCAACATTTCCTGCACGCCATTGAGGAGAAACACCCGGAAATTCCTCCCGTTCACGATATTGAGGGGCTGTATGGTGAACTACTTCTAGCTGACATTTCCTGGAACAGTAAAAAGGGCAGTGAGGACCCTCATGTTGCGATAAGTCAACGCCACAAGAGAGATTTAACACATACAAACAGTAGTCAAACTAAAGAACCACAGCCTACACATCATTCTAATGAGCACGATGATCAGTCACACAATCTGAAAAGTAACGCCGATTTAGATAATACTGGAATATTTCCCATAAAACATTATTCCAATGTGCATGACATTAATCATGGGAATGATACCGATACACATGAACAAGGTCACGGCCAGGGTCATCACGCGCACAGCATACAGGAAGAGATCGCACACGGACTTCACAAGGCCAGCATAACGATACTGGCCATCTTGGTGGTGGAGGTAATACAACTCAATTATAGATAAACGATACCTGGCACAAGTATACCCCAAACCCTTAAACTGTCTGGATAAATACTGTCGATAAATTGTCAGAAATATAATCCTATGTGAATTTTCAATGTGCTGTCAATAAATTAAGTCCACATTTCTATGTTTATAAGACACATAATAAATGTAATAGTTTGCAGCTTTCTTGGAAAAGAGGTTCATGTCATATAAAGTAATCATGTATCCTGAAGTCACATTGAAATCAAAATTAGCAAACAGACCTGACCAATGCTACATGTAAGCGAAAGATATTTAGATTTTTGTTCTGTTGAATTCGATCGCAAAGAAAATACCTAAACAAATACTATGTAGCATACGTTATGGTAAGAAGTTACAATAGAAGTTTTGTTTTTGTCGACATAACAGTCATCTTTCCTTTCAGACTGCAATCAAAATCTTCTGTGAAGGAATAAGGATATTCGAGAGGAAGGTTGAGGTGAGTATGCTCGTTTAACTGTACATTTTTTAATGGTCATTCCTTACCCGATGTCATGCTGGATTTTCAGCTGATTTTTGTATTCCCAATCTTATATTCTGTTAACTGAACATATTATATTATTTATATGCATTGTTTTGCTGTTATTTAAAGGTTTTATGCGGGAAAAACGATGCGATATTACCTGTCTAAATATTATATTCATTTCGCTTTCTTTTTTGTGAGTCAACAACCCTAAAAGATGATATAAGCACACATGACCCATCTAAACCTCATTTGGCTAATAAACTATTTAAGCAAACAAAACTAAAAATAACATTTTCGAAATAACAACGTGATAGAAGAGCGTACACAGAACTATATATTTGGTGTACACGTTGCTTGACGACACTCACGGTCAGTTGGAGTTATCGCCCTTAGCAATCGCATTGATATTTACGTCTTGTTTCTTTATAACACCTGTCTGGAATCAGGTTATGGAAAATAATGACAAGTGAGTTAGCAAGAATATTTAGTATTTTTTCTTTGAAGTATGATGAAGACTGTAGGTAGTGTATATGAATAAAAATGAAGGAAATCGGAAAGTTGAGATGGATTGAGTAATAGAGGAGTTCTAGCCGATTGTCGGTACTTTTAAATGTTTCGTATTGACCACTGAAGACAGATATTTAGCATACAAGCAGTCTATTAGTTTTGCTAGGCTTCAAATCTCATCACGATTTGGCAGATAGATAACCAGCGACACGTGTTTCTCTGTGTCCTATTGGACGGTCGGCTTTCAAATCTTTATGTGTGCAATCAATTTACAAGTACAGCGTCCATGAGCAGCATAAATAATTTTGAAATTGCTAACATCACACTGCTTAGATAACCACAAACATAACCCGAGTTTTCAGCGCAACCTTTTGATGGTGGTAAAATACGACAATTACCCGGATAAAGTGATACAGTGTCTTTTTCTCGAATCCGGGATCAGGTCCCGATATCCAGAATTGACTGCTGCATCACAATTTAATTGAAAGGGTGAACGTAGTTTGATTAAATGCAGATACATATTATGGGCCAAAATGAAGTCTGGAAGTATTTCTTTATTATTTCAGCTCATACCTGTAGATATCTCTTTTGGTGATATTTACTGGACCCCCCCCCCCCCCCCCCCCCCCCCCCCCCCCCCCCAAAAAAAACCTTCATTGATTCTAGTAAAATAACAAGCAGGATTTATATCTTATAAATAGTAAATATTGTCGTAAGTAAAGGCGAACAAATATATAACTAAACTTTGCACAGCGGGTTAAACAAGGTTCCATCCTTATACACAGGATACGTCTTTACCCTGTGACAGGAACTGATGTGTGTATATGAGTTTAATTTATACGAAAATCCATCGAAGTTTGAAAAAAATATACATGCGCGCCATGTTATGAAATATTTCTTGTAACTAAATGGAAATGTTCATGCACAATTATTTTAACTTGCGCATTACCTATTGCTATGTCTTCTCTTCCTGTTTAGTACTTTAATATTTTCTGTGTGGAGAGTTCATAGTTTATGTGTAGTACGTATACTGTTTCTGTGTAGTAGGTATACTGTTTCTGTGTAGTACGTATACTGTTTCTGTGTAGTACGTATACTGTTTCTGTGTAGTAAGTATACACACTTTAAAGATATAACAATTTAGGGATGTTACGGACTACATTTAGCTGTGTCCATTATAAATTGTGAAACAACACCATTCCGGACCGCGGTAATCAGGTTGCTTGTATTTAGGAACTGGAACTTACCATTCCTCCAATTTGGATTTGGAAGGTTTCTTATTTGAGCTGTTCGTCTTCTTAAAACCAAAGAACCAAGATTAGCTGAGTTTCGCTCTAGCTTTTCCTGAATTAGATGCCCTTTGACTTTTCTCGGTATTTGACATTTTCAGGTGTTCGATAGCATCATTGTGGTAGTGTCTTTCATCCTGGATCTGGTGTTCATCAAGGGACTCACCATGTTTCCTATCCAGAAATATGTCTTCATTCTGGCGTTTTTGGTACCGTGGCGTGTCATTCGAGTGGTGAATAGTAAGTGACTGGTCCACGGAATGACTGTAGACATTCTGGATTGAAATATTGTGATCTATATTCTTTTTCGACGAGACATTTTTGTGTACATCAACTAGAAATGTGGTTTCGATGCAAGAAAGTTGTGTCGATTTTTCGAGATCGAGAGCTTTCCGCCCTTCTTGGGGTGGCATTTTTACCAAATGTTGATGTAAACCCCTAAAAGGTATCAAATTACTCTACACATCTTAGATAAGGTCCAAATATTGCTGATACAAATGATCATTGAATGAGAACAGAAAAACGGGGTTATCCGCCAGGGTCCAATTAAATCATAACATGTTCGATTGACAGTAACGCAGTAAGCACATTTAAAGTGAGATTGATTTGTTTCCGTAATTCACAAAAAATAACGATCAAGAATTACAATACATCATTTTGTTACCACCAATTTAATGTCTCAGTCACAAGGTTCAAGTCGTTTGAATACGTACTGATCTGTTTTTTTTATGTTTTGCATTTTTAACCCTAAGGTCTTATTGTGGCTGTAATGGACCATGAACATTTCCGATTAAAGCTATTATACTCCCAAAAGAAAAAGATAAGTACTTCCCTGAAGACGGCTAAACAAGAGATAAAAACCCTCCAGGTAAGTTATCATGTTAGTGATGTTGTTTATTTCAGTGTTTTGATGACGATTGGTGTTCTTAAGAAAACAGCATCGTTATCAAACTAAGTTCATGTAAAACTGTTCACCTTTTCTGAGCTTTGAAGCTGAAACTTCATTGAAGGACCTCAGTTCTTGCATGGCATTAAATCGATTTATCATACAACAAAATTATGAAATAAGTTCATGAAAATTAATCACTCTTCTTCATCCAAAATGAAGCGCGCAATGAGTCTTTTATATGATGGGAAACAGGAGTTCCCGGAGTATACTCCTGTGGTTGGGCAGGTGACCTCATACATTTTCAAGTCCGACCCCGACCGTCTTGGTGAATGGCAATTGCGTTCACAACTGCGTCTCCAACCATCTTTAATTTTGCATTAAACAAATTATAAACACGAATCATATTATCATTAATTTGAGGATGATTTGCACGTGAAAGTCAATTGCGCTCCTAATGTAGTTGTGGAACATGCGCAAAGAATGTTCCTTAAGTCGTTTTAGACTGGTTTCAGAACTGTTAAACTGACTAAGCCGTTTTGTTGCTTGGTAATTTTAATGAATAGTCCAAGCTTTACCTAACATCTCCAGCACGTAACAGAGATAGTATATAGCGGTAGAGGACATAAACATCTCATATTGCAGCAGAAATAAAGTGGAGTCCTAAGAAGTTCTGATGACTAGCGCGCAACAATTTTGTATTTTACGCAAAATTTGAAAACCAAAAACAAACTAAAAGGTTAGATCTGCGTTTATTAACACTAAAAGTGAACAATGAGATTTATAAAACTCTGAAGAAATACGAACAGGCATTAAAACGCCAAAAAGTCTGCCCAACATTATTCTGTATAAATAACGTGATATAGTTTAATTATATATACATAAAGTGTTTATCACGGCAAACGATTTGAGCCAGCGGGCCTGTACACTCGCCACGAAGTTTTCTAGGGGAGATAACCTTATCATAGGGTTCACTTTTAGTTACCATTGTTAGTGTTCAACACTGGACCTTCAATTCTTAAAATCGCCTGGCACCACGAGCCCAACTCATTGGTGTTTAGTGTTTAAATGATAGTTGACCTGCGCATTCACAATTATACCTAGAAGTCAAGTGGCTATCTAGATGAAGGGCAGTCCAGTTTTATCTCCCCGTGTGTAAATCGAATCTCGTGTTTGTACCTATGTCTGTCCAGGGTATTTAAATGGCCAAGGGACCTTACACGAACAAAGACATCACAAGTGCTCTGACCTCGTTCTTTATTACACAGTAGCCGTAAACAATTTTAAGGACACATTTGTAGCTCTCGGCGTAGTAGCCGATAGTAGCACTTTTAAGGACATGTTTGTAGCTCTCGGCGTAGTAGCCGATAGCTGCACTTTTAAGGACATGTTTGTAGCTCTCGGCGTAGTTGCCGATAGTAGCACTTTTATTTCCGTTGGTCCTGCAAAACTAAGGTATAGAAAAGTGTTGTGGCAAATTTGCCCATATAGAATGTAGTTTTAAAAAGGGGCGCTAAAATCTGACACCGTAGCTGTTAATAGGACGTAAAACAAAAACGAACCAAAATATCATCCTGGTAGAGTTAATAGGCTAGGTGTCCTACTTACGTTATCGTATGCCGTGTCAACAACAAAAGTACTAGCTGTATGCTACTCCATACATCTGTATATATGATAACAGGCAACTCATGGTGTTTGTTAATGCACAGTTATTGAACTAATCAACAGGTTATAATGATGAAAGGCCTCATTCAACTCTCCAAGGGAACGAGTACACTCGTCTGATAATAAACACATCAGTGTAGTAAATTAGATGAGAGTGTTCATTTGTTAGGATAAGTTATTGAGGTAGAATGGAAAACATGTTGTTTTTTTTAAAACATTTTACCTACGAAAATAAAATGAAAGAAGAAAATAAAATATAAAAGGCATTCAGGAAGGCTGTGTTCATGTTAGATTATTCTTATGACGTCATGTTTTCCTTACATTACAGGCGGGTCTGGAAGGCGCCAAGAAGCTGTGCACGGAAGCTGGTATCCCCGAATGGAAGTTACAGCAGTGCATGGGTAATACAAATAGTTTCTTACATGCAAGTCTCGTATGTTTTGCGTCTTTTTATGACTTTAAACTATTTTTTTTTATCTACGAGCGTCTATAATGATATATTTAGTATATCACTTGTAGTATTCATTTTACGTTTATTTGAACAATTTTGATATAATACTAAGTTCAACTGCTTGCAATTGGTATTCATATTCAAAATGAATTCCAAGCGTGAATGGCAATTCAGCAAGAAACTATATCATGATATGTTCCAGCTGGCGTTCGTAAAGAGTATGAATGGCGACTGAAAGCACATGCCTATTCATACTTGCAATGCAATCTTCAGCACATTCTAAATAATTAACATAGAAAGACGGGAAGTAAAAAAATCTCGTTTCCCCTTTCAGTTGGTGAAAACAACAACCACGGTTCGTCGAAAACCGTATCACCACTCGCTTTCTTCTCTAAACCGAACATGAAGCGCCGCGGGAACGAACACAAACAGGAAATGAACGAAAAGGGCAAACGCCTGTCTTCGACATCTGCGATTCCACCCAAAGTAGATAGTCAGGACAACAATGGACGATCCGACAAGGACGATATCACTCGGAACTCCTCTAGTGCTGTCAGGTTTAACATAGAAGAGACGAACGAATCAACAGAACTGATGGATAACAGTGACGACATTGGTTCTCCGTGACAAGTCTATCAGACATAGTTTCGTATCATTGTTATTGGTTCACCGTGACAAGTTTATCAGACATAGTTTCGTATCTTTGTTATTGGTTCACCTTGACAAGTTTATCACATAATACATGTAGTTTCGTATCTTTGTTAGGTAAGTCCAACATATACTACTTGATACTGAAGGCACCATAATTGTATTATGGTATTCGTTCAGTCTGTACGTGCTTGTTCAATGGATCGACGCTGCTGAGTGATGGACTTGTAATATCAGATTCCTCTTTACAACTATAACGTAATGATACTGAAAATGTACAATCCATTCAAACTATGCAATGTAAAAAGTGTTTTAATAATTCTGGTGATGTTTATGAACGTTAATGGGTTTTTATCTTGTATTCAGATAAAGTACGATGGAAAAAGACTTTTGTTTGTAGTTGTGTGTTCTTCCCAGCACATTCATGTAAAACGCCTTTCATAACATACAAGAAAGATGAATAAATGACAGGTATTGTGGCTTGGGAGTGTGAGTCCCAACAGTCGCAGACAGAACACAGGGACATGCTAGAACACAGGGATATGATAGAACACAGGGACATGCTAGAACACAGGGATATGATAGAACACAGGGACATGCTAGAACACAGGGATATGATAGAACACAGGGACATGCTAGAACACAGGGATATGATAGAACACAGGGACATGCTAGAACACAGGGATATGATAGAACACAGGGACATGCTAGAACACAGGGATATGATAGAACACAGGGACATGCTAGAACACAGGGATATGATAGAACACAGGGACATGCTAGAACACAGGGATATGATAGAACACAGGGACATGCTAGAACACAGGGATATGATAGAACACAGGGACATGCTAGAACACAGGGATATGATAGAACACAGGGACATGCTAGAACACAGGGATATGATAGAACACAGGGACATGCTAGAACACAGGGATATGATAGAACACAGGGACATGCTAGAACACAGGGATATGATAGAACACAGGGACATGCTAGAACACAGGGATATGATAGAACACAGGGACATGCTAGAACACAGGGATATGATAGAACACAGGGACATGCTAGAACACAGGGATATGATAGAACACAGGGACATGCTAGAACACAGGGATATGATAGAACACAGGGACATGCTAGAACACAGGGATATGATAGAACACAGGGACATGCTAGAACACAGGGATATGATAGAACACAGGGACATGCTAGAACACAGGGATATGATAGAACACAGGGACATGCTAGAACACAGGGATATGATAGAACACAGGGACATGCTAGAACACAGGGACATGCTAGAACACAGGGATATGATAGAACACAGGGACATGCTAGAACACAGGGATATGCTACACACAGGGATATGATAGAACACGGGGACATGCTAGAACACAGGGATATGATAGAACACAGGGACATGCTAGAACACGGGGATATGATAGAACACAGGGACATCCTAGAACACAGGGACATGCTAGAACACGGGGATATGCTAGAACACGGGGATATGATAGAACACGGGGATATGATAGAACACAGGGACATGCTAGAACACAGGGACATGCTAGAACACGGGGATATGATAGAACACAGGGACATGCTAGAACACGGGGATATGATAGAACACAGGGACATGCTAGAACACTGGGATATGCAATAGTTCTTTCCTAGCTTGCTAGATGGTTTCGATGGAGTATAGATTATAGTGAGCAAATTATATCTTCAATTTTAATTTTCGTTGAGAAAAATGTTGTCTGAAGAAATTGTACGGTCGCAATCTTGACCGGAGTTTTAATAATGAACTTTGAATGTCTCCCTTGATAAAAGACTTTCAAGTCATCAATACCGTCCTAGGTATCGAATTTCTTTAAATAACATAATCACATATGGAAATGTTTATCAGCTATTCTACCAAATATTGGAATTATGTAAGCAATGCTATTAAATATGGGAATTCAATCAGTCACACTACCAAATATGGCATTTCTATCCGCTGTAATGCCAAATATTGAAATTCAATCAGCCACACTACCAAAGATGGAAATTATATAGGCAAACTACCAAATATAAAAAAAAAATCAGCAACACTGTAAAATATGAAATTTCTCTCCGCCACACTTCCAAATATGGAAATTCTATCAGACATACTACCAAATATGGAAATTCTATCAGACATGCTACCAAATATGGAAATTCTATCAGACATACTACCAAATATGGAAATTATATCAGACATACTACCAAATATGGAAATTCTTCTCTTTAATACTGTTTAATTCTTATATTTCGCTCATTAATTATTTTCGCGTTCAGTCTCGATTGTTATTCAAGAAACATGCGAACAATTTCGCGACGACAAAAACGTAACGTCAGTTCAAGAAAAGAAATAACTAGAGTATATATTTACAGAGGTGTGACAGAGGCGAAGGAAAATTGCTTTACAACTTTTTAAGCTTCTATTCGATGAACAAATTAGATAGATGGACATTTTTTAATCTTTGTATTTCACAAAAGGTCACTGCCATACTATTTACTTATCGAAACATTCTCTAGTCGAATGAATAATTTATGAATATAACATCAAAGCCTCACATATCTATTAAAGGTAATAACTGGAGGCTGTAATTTTATCCTATCCATCGTGTTAACTCTGAGTGACTTCGTGTAATTATTAAAATAAACGTTTATTTATAGTCAACAAAGTATAGAAGTAGATAAATAGAAAACCTGCAATAAACATGAAAAACTGAACGATTGACGTCATAGGTGTAACCTTCCGTCTCCCGGCAACAATAGAAGCCTAAGTGGTTGAGTCAAGAGACACCGCGATACTTGAAAACATTGAATTGAAAGACAGAGTGGTGAGTAGGGATGGAAGATGACAAGACGGGTATTTAACTATAGACGATCGAAACAAATGTAAAATAATAATAAATAAATAAAATAAAATAAAAAATGGTATAAAAAGTGATTAGTGCGGATTCGGACTGGTCTTTATACTCTTATAAAAAGCACCTAGTAGCCAAAATCTACTACAATTGCATGGGCTCTTTCCCAAACACACGAAAAGCCAGCCTCTTAGAAATAGTCAGATAGATTGCAACTGAATAATTTAAACGAACGTGTAGAGTCTGGACAGAGGAAAAAGTACCAAAGATGTTGAAAAAAGGTGTCGACATCGAGGTTCCTAAAACAGAAGATATGACTGACTCTTAATATTGGCGGTGTATTACCTAGCTGTCTGTACCAGGTAAAGTTTAATTGAGACTTATGTTGGAGAGAATATAGGCTGCAGTAGATGTAACATAACATCCTTATAGATAAAGAAGATCTTGAAGGGACGGTCAACCATATATATTCCTATAAAACACCAAGGGACGGTCAACCATATATACTCCTATAAAACACCAATATATTCCTATAAAACACCAAGGGACGGTCAACCATATATATTCCTATAAAACACCAATTTGGAGAAGCTGCTAGAGGGTTACACCACCCCTTCTGTGAATTTCGCTGACTTTCAAAATTATGCTGGATACCAGTGTTATTGTTAAGTTTGAAGGATTAGAATCGGAGTTCAAAATATCAGCTGAATCACAACAAGAACGTATCATATGTCCATTACGTCATCATCCTAATTGACTTAATGATCAAAGAAAGAAAAGAGGAGTCTCGAAGTGACTGATGGAACAGCCTGAGATCTGGAGAACTTAGTCATTGATTTCTTCCTTTTACCTCACACCACGAACCATCTACGGGACAAGGCAACGACATGCAGGGGGAAGCAGCAAAGCTTTTGCTGAAGGTCATCGCTAAGTTTTCGAATTAAATATGTGGATATGGAAGCCATGAAATAAAACAATGAACCATTAAAGAAGGTGTTGAAGAGTTTGATAAAATAAATATTTTAAGAGGCCATGAACATCTTGAAGGGCTGAAACTGAAAGGTAAAGCTTACGGCTCTTTTTATTGGTGTGAATATTGAAGGAAAGGAGAACCATCACGTGACTTAACTGAGACTGTTTACCACCGATGTGATATATGTTATGCAGCGGAAAAATAAATGAATAAGACTATGTCCAGGAACTTTAAATCACGACTTTTAGGCAAACACATATTTGTGGATGATATCTCATATCAGACGGCAAAGTCTTAAGTAACAGTTACCTGAAAGCAAGAACCAAAATTTGGAGCATCATAGTAGAAATCAAGAGAGGGTGTTGGAAATGGTTGAACCACATATATACTTACAGTATACAAACATATAAACGAGCACAGCGGGGAACACAAATGGGGAAGAGGAAAAAGAGAAGACAAAAAAAGGACGACAGAGGAAGAAATAAAACTGGCGGGGAAAACCTTCAGCGACCTGGGAAGAAAGGTTCAGGACAGAAAGATAGCGTGTCCTCGTTAGCGGGGAAGTAAGCATCATTAATACCACGGCCAGTTTAGTGACGACATCCTTATTATGACGTTAAAAAAGGTAACCATGGATACCAATATGTAAATCTAAACTGAACGAAATACTGATTGACAATGATTGAATTGTATGTTCTGAGTAATAATGGTAAGCATATACATTAGATAATTCCCATTGTCTTTTCTATTTATCATGAATGTTAACTTTAATCTTAAAAATCAGCATGCGCTTAAAAAATTTCGAATTTCCGGATCATAACGTTTATGAATGCCAACTGGAAGCTGTCCAATACTTCTGTTTACCGCTTTTGGAATATTTTAATCCTTTAGTTATTTTTTAACAGTAAGCATTTGGTCAAAATTTAATTTACATATATCGTGTGCTTGGTTAACATTTAACTCTGCTATCCTTACAAAATGGTCAGTGATGACCTTCCCGGCTCAATATTTCTGCCTTCATTGTCATAGTCCTGTAACAAGGACATTTAGCAGCGTTGTTATACAAATTGAAATTATAATTAAAATGTGGTCCAAATATAAATTTACAACAATAACTTTCTCTTGGTCGGTGGGTGATTTCTGGAAAATCAAAAAAACACGCCCGGACAGTGCTAGGCCTAGGTCCTATCTGATATTATAAAGCATTATCACCAAGTTAAGTACTAGTACTGTTACCCAATAGAAATAGAGTAATAATTAGTTTAGCTGTCCTTTGTCTGAGACTAGCTTACCGACCTGGTACACTTTAAGACATGTTAATCCTGTTACGTAATGGAATTAAGTTAAAAGGTATATTGTATACGATGGCCATAGTTAACGCATAAGTTAATTTGACAACAATGATTTAAACGAATTATACATGGCGACTTCAAAGAAAATGCTTCGTAAATAGAACTTATCTTAATTGACACAAGTTTAGAGAGCTAATTGGTTTAAACAATTTACACAAATAGTTCCGGCATATTAAAATGTCACTAGGCAGAAGAAAAAAAATGCAAACGTTTGAAGTTAAAATACGACTAATAACGAATTCAGCACTTTTTTCATAAAATTCTTTACATTAGTCCTATCATATATCATTATATATTCATATCTATTTTCGGCGAAACTTAAGCAAAAATCTAACGATAAAAAACTCCATCTTTTATGTTTTGACCAATCTCGCACCATAAGGAAGCGATAACATGAATATTTACTGCAACCATCAAATATACTTATTTAAATAAATTTGGGTTTCAAATTTACATTTTAAGTAGAAAATAGATTTGCTCGACAGTTTTAAGGTAGATCCGGAGTTGCGGCATTTGAAGCCGAAGTCATTAGGTCCACAGGGGGGACATGTAATCGTATTCCGATCCTCGGCTTTTATAGCATTAGAACAACTTTATATTTAATTTATGGGTTCAAACCAGACGAGAAAAGTTTTGGGGTGGAGGATGACGTATTGTATTGGTAATGGTCATTTATTAGGACAGTATTACAAACATAAAAAATAGTTATATCCGAAATTTATGTCGATTTTAGCACTGTAATATTGTTAACGTGGAGAGTTATCGTTCTTTTGATCGGACTTTTATCAGAGAGATGCTGAAGCTGTTTGAATTATAAGAGATGGATTTTAATGGAATACTTCACACCGTCTTTATAGCTTAAACAGTTTGTGCTGTCATACATTTTATGTACAATGAAGTATGTCAATATATGACGACAAGGGTCCGGTATCACAAAAAAACACCCAACTTTGTAAAACGTACTCAACTTCAACATGATCAAATTATAACATTTCAATAAACTACTTTATACATCTTTTTTTTCTACAATCCATTTACATTGTATGGTGTAAGGGTATCAATTTGAAAACAACACTCTTTACACCTATCGATTCTCGAATAATCATGTTTCATTTGACAAAGCATAGAACAACAATGTGATTCCAATTTCTGACGCGTATATCGATCAACTTACCAAAAGTACCGCATCGTCAATACACAAGTACCATGTCTGACTCGAAATTGATTTAAACGCCTAAACAAAAGGGAAGACACCACGAGTCCTTACGAACACCGGAGGTTAGACCGGAAGTGAAGCCGAGTACTCCTGCACGGGTACACGGTGCGTTTTCGTGTGACTGTATATCTGTGTTGCCGGGTACGCGGTGCGTTTTCGTGTGACTGTATATCTGTGTTGCCGGGTACGCGGTGCGTTTTCGTGTGACTGTATATCTGTGTTCCCGGGTACACGGTGCGTTTTCGTGTGACTGTATATGTGTGTTGCCGGGTACACGGTGCGTTTTCGTGTGACTGTATATGTGTGTTGCCGGGTACACGGTGCGTTTTCGTGTGACTGTATATCTGTGTTGCCGGGTACGAGACACCGGTTGTTGCTGCAACAATAATGAAATGACACATTTGCCATTGTAGTGTGGTTGTTAATAGCGTGCCTGCCCTGTAATGGAGACTGTCACGGAGTTATTTTAAAACTGATGTTGTTAACGCCGTGTTTATGCATTATGTGTCTGGTACTGAAGATGAAGTCATATTGTGGTACCTATACACCAAATCTAGGAACGGAGTTCACTGCATTGTGAATAGGAATACGTTTAGAAATTTAAGCTGCGAAATTCAGACGCGTATTAGTTTAATAACGATCTTTTCGCATATCTTTAAAAGATTTTTTTTTCAGTGACGATTTTAACAAAGTGGAAGCCAAATGGTTATTTGATATTCTATTTCTGAATAGCGACACTTTCGTTTAGTTTACATCATTTAACACAACAACAACAACAACAACAACAACAGTATCGCTATAGCGATAAGGCAGCGATTCGTTCATCATAGCGAGATCTACGTTGTGTCACTCTCTGAATTGCATAAAACTTTCAGTAATTCTTCTACAGTTTTTGCTTTATATACTTACCGAAAAGCATATTGTTAGTGAAAGATCTAATCATATGTTGCATTGGTATTGTGACGTCACATATCACTTTTGATATTCTGATATAAGCAATGGTTTATGTGGCATAGCATATGATATACAAAACAGAAAGAGCGCCTGTTGTAGTGTTCATGTCCTGATAAATAACATGGATGACAATTACCGACCTCACGGGATCATTTCCACTGTCTGACACACGCTAGTATAACATTACTGGCATTGACGAATGGTAAGCGTTTACCTTCAAATAGTGTTAGGAAATTCAATTGAAATAGAGTCGAAAATGACATTTGCAAACGGCCATTATTTTACAAATCACTATGATATATGTTGATGCTTTCGGGCGTCACATGACGTTACCGTAATGACGTCACAAATTGCCGCTGACGTCATCGTTATATTCACTTTTTCACTGCAAGTCATATAAAAAACTACAATTGCATCAGTAGCATTTAGACGCTTCTCTTGCGTCAAGTACCATCATCGTAAGAGGCGAACAATTTGGTGAAGCTAGGCTACTACAGGAATTTTGTAACAAAAGTACCGACGCTTCAATAGGCTTGGATTATAACATGTATAGTGCATAATTATGAGAAAAAGGGTTTTGATTTCCAATTTAGAAGTACATATTTTGTAATCTAATGAGTAAATTCCGATATTGATCAACCCTCATTATGTAATACATGTATTTACTTCTGCATCCAGCTTCAGGAAACGATTACCTTTTTATCATCGGTCCCAGGTAAAAATCGCTAAAGTTTCACCTAAGGCCAAAATAACCTTTCTCGGGTTCACAGTTTCGTATTAACCCAAAAAGACATTAATTGACTATTTTTCATGAAGCAATCGGACTGGACGCAACTTGATTTGTCAGTGTTCTAAGATAGAAAGTACCACTCTATAAAAAAAGGACCAATATCAAAGTCTCGGCTTTCACGTGGTTTCAAGATGGTCTGAATGTCCAGGTTTCTACCATTATGTAGTTACAACAGGGACTCATTGACAACGTCACTGTCTTTACCTTGTTACCAGAGGGGCTCATTGTCAAAGTCACTGTCTTTACGTTGTTACGAGAGGGACTCGTTGACAAAGTCACTGTCTTTACCTGGTTACGAGATGGGCTGTTGACAGCGTCACTGTCTTTACGTTGTTACGAGAGGGACTCGTTGACAACGTCACTGTCTTTACCTGGTTACGAGAGGGACTCGTTGACAACGTCACTGTCTTTACCTGGTTACGAGAGGGGTTGATTGACAAAGTCACTGTCTTTACCTGGTTACGAGAGGGGTTCATTGACAAAGTCACTGTCTTTACCTGGTTACGAGAGGGGTTCATTGACAAAGTCACTTTTTTACGTTGTTACGAGAGGGGCTCATTAACAAAACTCACTGCCTTTACATGTTTAAAAGAGGGACTCATTGACAAAGTCACTGCCTTTATTTGGTTACGAGAGGGGCTCAATAGCAAAGTTTCTGCTGTCACGTTGTTTAAAGGGAGGGATTTGAATATACAAGAAGGGCTAATTAGCAAAGTCTTTGTCGCCACGTGGTTACGAAAGAGGCTTAATAACAAAGTCTCATTGGTTACGTGGTTGCGAGGGGCCGTTACGAGAGGGATTCAATAGCAATTTCTCATGATTCATATGGAATGTCTCTGTAATTTCACAGATATGGAAGACGAGTTTCATTTTATTTTTATTTGTCCATTTTATAGCGATCTCAGGCAAAGATTAATCAAGCAATATTACTGTATTACAGAAAACCCTCGATTTTTAAATTAATACAACTACTTAGTATGAATAATGTAAGAGAGCTATCCAAATAAGGAAAATAGATATATTTAGCATTTAAGAGGCTTTAATTATAGGTTTATGTATTGTTCCATAACTGTAATGTGTTTATTAAGTATTGTTACATACACATTATTGAACGGTGTTTTATGTATACTGTGATGTCACTCTCCTGTCTATTCTAATCATGTTTAGAGAATGTTATATGCATATATGTATGTACCTATAAGCCTTAGGGCTTTTTGCTAACAAAGAATGAAAAGGTGGTTACGAGCCATCATTCAAACCCACATCTGCATAAGGTTATATAATAGACGGATGGACGGTTAACAGTTCATTGTTGATATTTTTGTATGAGATGTCATTCTCAGACAACTTTCAATTTCCAGCTGGTCAACATAAGTAAATTAACTAAGATCTTTTCAGGTGTGCACACCACGTGAGGTCACTGGAGCGAGAGTAGGTGTCCCAGGGTCCCACATATAGCTTTATTTATCGACACCTGATCGGCGCTATGTACATATATATAAAGATACTGATATATATACTTGATAGTCTCACTCTGGTGCCCATCACCCGATATAGCTTACCCGTCACCACACTGCGTACGTATAGGGGAGGCTGGCTGTAGGTTGGGGCACACACTCGGATACAAGCTGTCGCACAACGCTGACTAAGTGGAATTAAGTTTTAACAAGAGACTTGGAAAATACTGTCATTAAAGTGACAAACACGTATTGGATTATCTTGCTGAGCCAAGTTTTAGGCGATCCGGGGCTTTAACGTGAGTATATGAAAATGTCAAGTTTCGTGCCGTCACAATTCATTTCTTAGGGACAAAAAAACCCAGCTTGATTAAGAATATATAAGATAAGAAAATATTTAAAACACACGGTGGAATTTCATACCTGATGAGAGGATCAAAGGCAGACTAGTTTTCTGTAGGTTACAAAGTCGACTCAACTGCAGGATGCACCAATGAAAATAGTTTGCAAAGTGGAATAGCCTACACTCGTTGTGTCGACGCAGGCATTTTTCAAAGCAGTATATACCTCATTCTTGGGTGTAGGTAGTTAAAAAAAGCGCATATAATTGTTTCTCATCGAGATTGATAATGTAATAACTGAGAGTAAAATAAAAGTGATGTTCAAAAGAAATTAACGAACTTTGCGTTAAATATATTTTCCAATCCTGCATCAGATTGTCATGTCGGCCTTGATATTGTGACGTCATACTCACAAGTTACCTTGGTTGTGTGACGTCAAAAGCACATGTCGCATTAGTAATGTACCGTCACACTTGTATTCCGTCTTTGCATATTGCAAAGTTATCTTCTCTTGGGAGCAGGTATTGATTGTTACGTCACTTGTTTGTGAGAGTAACGTTATCAATTTTTGAGAAAACGACGTAATTTTCTAACACAAACCAATGACGTAACAATCAATACCTGCTCCCAAGAGAAGATAACTCTGCAATACGCAAAGACGGAATATCACTTTTGACATTGCGACGCCACAATGTCAAATAGCAATGGTATGGTGACGTCACAATCACATGTCGCCTTTTATTTTTCACGTTACAATTACATGTTGCCTGTTGTGACGTCAAATTAACTCGTTATTTCATCAAGGAGGAAGATAATTATATCTATGTCATTTATACTCACTGCAGTAAAGATATCAAATCACAGCAGAACAAATGTCCTCCAAACAAAAGATGTTTTATATAACTGATAAGATACTTATATATCTCAAATATGTTAGATAGAAAGAAAGTCTGAATAATTACAAATATTGACCCCTCTCTCCTTTCAGGCTCTTCAGATTTTTTGTTTTACTTTATTCGGCTATACCTTGACCCCTCTCTCCTTTCAGGCTCTTCAGATTTTTTGTTTTACTTTATTCGGCTATACCCAGACACACACACTTTGTTTTTGTGTTTCAGGAAGAGTACTTTAATTCAAAGTTTGGTCACTAAGTTTTGTAAGAGGAATAAAATAAATGTATTTGCAGTGTATTTTGTGTCTGTTTGGATTAAACTATGTTAAATTCGAACGCGTCCCATTCTTACACCTGTGGCTGTAATATGCGGGGTGTTTTGTGTGACTCGTCCCAAACTATTTCTACACTGTATCAAAGATAATCTAGTTTTTGCATGTGCCATATAATACCATAACCCAGACTGGTATAGGTGCACACCAGTATAAATGTTCGCTGTAATTCGGCCTCCCTTAACACGTCACTGGCGACTCCCCATTTTTGATACGCCTTACAACAAAGCGACCCGACTATTACCGAGTTTATGACCGGCGTAAAACCTGCTAAAAGTTGTGTTCAAACAGACATAGACATTGTAAGCATGCGTTATATACAGTTACAACGTCTATGTTATGTTATCCTGGGAATATATAGCTTTACATATATTTACATTTCTCGTTTTATTATTGTCGTTTAAACATATTGATGTGCAATAGCGTTTCTAAATGGGCTTATGTAAAATTTTATATGAATTCTCCTTTAAAAGAAACAGTCCTTTCCCCCCTTTTCAATTTTTAACATTCTCGAAATAACGTAATGGTTTAAGTGTACATTTAGGTACAGTAACCACGTGATTGTTTAGGTTTACATTTAGATACAGTAATCACGTGATCGTTAATGTGTACATTTAGATACAGTAATCACGTGATCGTTTAGGTGTACATTTAGGTACAGTAACCACGTGATTGTTTAGGTTTACATTTAGATACAGTAATCACGTGATCGTTTAGGTGTTCATTTAGATACAGTAATGACGTGATTGTTTATGCGTACATTTAGGTACAGTGATGACGTGATTTTTAGGTGTACATGTAGGTACAATAATCACGTGATCATTCGATACAATTTCAAATAATTCTTTCTTTTGAAAAGCACACAATTTCCTTCGTAGAATAGATTACGTTTTTAAATCGTTTCTTGTAAAACGTTAAAACATTAGCTGTCTTGTCACGAGAAACTGTGAACAAGATTTCTGTATTTTAATTCTTTTCTAAAATCTAACGACGCTTTGATGGGAAATTATAATAAGAAATAAATTCAAAATTAACATAAACTCAAATTTAAGGCAGGCGTCTCATTTCATTAATAGGATCATTATGGATGATAGTCTTTGATCGAAAAACATCTGACAGTCCCCTGCTGTGTTTAACTCATTAAGTACGTACACCCATCCAACCAACTGGAATAGGGTAATGATAAAAATACATCAGGACATGCCGGGGAATCTTAAAATGTTCCAACCATACCAGTGCAGCAAAACATGTGACGTCATCAACCTCTGTTTAGTTTTGCATTCTTGGAGCATGAGTGATGCTCGGAATAATTTCTAACTTGAAAATATGTATAAAACATGAATATGCCTCCTCTCTATTTGATGGAAATGAATCTAAACAGTCTTACCAAAGTCAGCGAAGCGGAAAATATAGGTCACAGTGATCTACATTTGTCATTGATCCCCTATACATGTACTAACATATTATAAGGTTTCTTCTGGTATAACAGTAAATTACATAGTCTAATCAACATATGTCGTTCGGTCGGATCAATGGACAAACAATAACATCCCGTCGAATGATTTTACATGAACATGTTCGTCATTATGGCGTGTATCTATGTTTGTTGATTTTTTTATTGACACTGGTGACTAGTTTAAACATATTTTATTGCCAAAAAATGCAAGAGGATTGGGCACAAGTTTCATGAACATTATTAACGCCCTTTCCTTATAAGATAAATAATTGTATATACACATCATAAGATGGCTTTCATAGTTTAAATCACTACATTTATCTATTATTGAGAGAGAGAGAGAGAGTGATACTAGAAATAGTATGGATATCCGGACTTCAAATTCCAGAAAAACGGAAAATTGAACGTTACATTGCCGCGCTTATGTTACATGTTTTAACAAAGTCGGCAGTGAAAAAACATATGATATATTATAAAATTATGGACTTCGCCAATAATAAAATATAAAATAAAAACAAAAACCTCAGGGTTCTGATTTTTTTACGCGAGCTTCCGTATAAAATTCAGCCAGGGTTGAATCCAATCAGTTCAGCATTGTAGCTTTCGAAGACATCGTCAAAGTTCTCTTCCTTAATATTAGCATGGAGGACACGCACTGCGTGGTCGGTGGTCTTTTTTGTGTTATCATTACCTTTATCCTTGAGTAATATTTGAAAATTTTCAGATGTGACGGAGGCGAAGCATTCGCCATCAGCCATCTTCTGTTGACAGATCGCGTTCCGGTCTAACTGCGCGTGCGCTACAATAGGTTGCGGTTCCATATAGGCTATATTTAGAAATCAATATCGTCTACATGAGTATTTGAGGACTGGTCACGGGTATAGGATCCGGCCAATGTGATTGCTAGAAATTTTTAAGCATATAATAAATACATTTCAGTGATACGATATATTCAATTTATTTCAACTTATAGGATTTGCGTTTGTATAACAACAAATAATTTCATATAACTGGTACATAAATCACAATTCAGCAGCAACAACAACATCATCGACATCGATTTTGTCATTTAAACCACGGACTTAGATAATTCCGTGTTTAAACGGAGGTCCATCTTTGATATAAGTTCCATCAAGACGTCCAACTTATAGTCAGTGTCATTGTCCCTTGCTCCATTAGTATATAAAACGTGATGGGCTTCCCCAACAACTCGTCAAGTAGACCGAGACATTATCAATGTTTACAACAGGACAGTGTCCACCCGTAGTGAGCCCCACGGTGTCAACCAGAGCGCCGCAATAGAGCGGGAAGAAAATTTGGCTATCGATTTCACTGTTGTATTCACAACGCTATAAATAGATACACGTACTCGAGTACTAGGCAAATCGGTCTATATATATAGCGAATAGGCCTACTTTAGCACCGATCATTCACAACGACAAAAAGTCATTCTCCATTTCACAAAAGCACAATAAAATTACCAAAATTCAAAACATCCGCCATTTTCAAAGGGACATAACTTATATCTGTATGGTGTATTTCTATAAGAAAAAAACACCAACATTTCAACGAATTCTAATTTACGGTTATACTTGATTAATCACATTCAAGGATGGGAAATTTAAAATGATTTAAACGAAATAAAATAAGCATCGATACCAGGTACATTTTTTTTTAAATTTTCGGCTATAACGATAATTAAAACGTTGAGGGCTTAACTCTTACATACAATTCACATGTAAACTAATCATGTGTAAGGTAGCATACAACCTTAACCAATCTTGGTCAGATATTGTTTTTTTATTTTCCATGGTGGGTCGTTTAATTCAATCTAAGCTCAAAATATTTTCGGCCGGGTGCATAACTTGTTGCTAGAAAAACATCTTAAATTATTTAGTTGTCGTGAAAGCAAATTACGACAATTGTACGATACCCTGTACTATGTATGGTATGTAGATATTGTACTTAGTATTTTCGCGGATACCGTCCCGTGCTACGCGAAAGGGTGCTGACGTAAGATTTTCTCCAGGGTAGACAACTCAGTGACCGTACGGCATTTTATTTTAAGAAGCAGTAATAAAAGTGAATCATTCTTATTAAAGCTTTACGTGTATGTCATGGTATATCTGGTATTCATTTGACCATTGAAACAGAACATATATAGAGAGAAAGGCATAATGGAAATACTTCATTTGGGAGTTTATTTACATCACTCATCTTACATCACTCATCTTACATCACCCATCAATTTATATGATTCCTTTAAGTACAAATTTAACACTGGTTTCTTTTTTACGGAACATTGCCGAATGACCTAAGAGAACGTATCCAACTATTCTTTCTTTGATGTTTATTTAATATACACAAATACAGCATGTCGTTTCACGAGGATAATTCAAGTTAAGTCTTATCAACAAATATTTCTGTCGTAGCTGTCGAGGCTTCCTCCGTCCAAACTCATGGTTTATTATATATTGTTTGGAGAAATTCACAGTGTGAAATATTATCATTTGGCGTGACGTTACACCGTTCTTTTATGATTTATATCATGGGAGAAACAGAATATCAAAATCGTGTCGATCGAAACGTACCTAATTCATCAGTTATATTTCCGAATAAACTTACAGATACACTCGGATCTCTCGGTGAAGATCCTAGATTATATACATGAGTACAAACTACTCAACTACTCGAATGGATGAATAACTGATAATTAATAATATCTCGTTCGATACAATAGGTATAGTCCTAATAGAAGGTCGACACATTAGTTGTCCCCAATTTCACTGGGTGTCATTCTGCCCCAATCTCGACCGGCGCTGGTCCACTAAAATGTTCAGCTGATATTCAGAGATTCGTTTATGTTTCGTTAATTGTTGTTTGTGCCGTATGTGTCATGGTAACAAACAATATATTTATAGTGTAAAAGTCTAGACTTACTTTTTAGCCTTTGCTCCCACTAAGGTATTTATTGTAAATCTCACTATGACGTGAAACAAAATTTACTTCGGTTATTTATGCAAAATTATGCTTAAACTAGATATAGGGCCCTACATTAAACCAGACTTGAAGACATGATATTTGTAAGGTATATGCTGTGTTCCAAGTAAAATGTGTCCTCGTCACCACATATAAGGTCACTTATAAACTGTTGCCGCGAGAGGCGACTGTCAAAACGAACGGGTAGGTAGGACAGAAACGATATCACCCCGACTGTGGGAATGGACAGCAGGTAAGTTTAGTTCCTTATTTTAGACACAGAAGCAATTTCCTGATTTTATAGGGGAGCACACTAGCCGCCTCATACGTACACGTAGTGAAGCAAAACAAAACTAAACAGTTTCATTCATATACATAAACTAAACTGTTCACCTAGTTCTTATTGTCCCTAAATGCAAAACGACACCTGCCTTGTTTTTTTGTATACAGACGTAATCCTGTTCAGTATACACCTAACTATATATATTGTTAGTCGGTACCTGTATACTCAATCCTGTTGATAAGTTAAATCTATTAGGTCAACTCTTTCGTAACGCCATAGGCTTTTGAATACTTTGACAGCATATTGTAACCGATGTCTTAATTGGCATTTTGTTGATGTCCATAAATCGCATTGTATTGATAAAGTATAACGAAAAGTACAATGGCGAGGTCATTAATACAACACGATATTAACCACAGGCACCAGGTAATTAATACAATGGCGAGGTCATTAATACAACACGATATTATCCACAGGGACCTGGTAATTAGTACAATGGCGAGGTCATTAATATAACACGATATTAACCACAGGGACCTGGTATTTAGTACAATGGCGAGGTCATTAATACAACACGATATTAACCACAGGGACCTGGTAATTAGTACAATGGCGAGGTCATTAACACAAAACGATATTAACCACAGGGACCTGGTAATTATTACAATGGCGAGGTCATTACTACAACACGATATTAACCACAGGGACCTGGTAATTAGTACAATGGCGAAATCACTAATACAACACGATATTAACCACAGGGACCTGGTAATTAGTACAATGGTGAAGTCATTAATACAACACGATATTAACCACAGGGACCTGAGAATTAGTACAATGGCGAGGTCATTAATACAACACGATATTAACCACAGGGACCTGGTAATTTGTACAATGGTGAGGTCATTAATATAACACGATATTAACCACAGGAACCTGGTAATTAATACAATGGCGAGGTCATTAATACAACACGATATTAACCACATGGACCTAAGAATTAGTAAAATGGCGAGGTCATTACTACAACACGATATTAACCACAGGGACCTGAGCATTATTACAATGGCGAGGTCATTACTACAACATGATATTGACCGCAGGGGCCCGATAATTAGTACACACTATGTTAACGTACATTGTAAATATTTCTCATATAATGCATACATATATAAATATGGAATAAATTGTACAAACGGTTTCGTCGCTTGAAATGTATTAGAATTTATAAAAGTGAAATTGTTTCATCTTCATAAAATAGAGTGTTTTTAATACAATACAGTGGACCAAAATCAGTTCCTGGCTTACAGTGTACGTTTCCTTAATTGCAAGAAAACTAGTTCACCCCAACCGTAATATACATATAAAATACCCAGGTAGGGATGGAATAACTTGTATGGATTAAAGAAGAAAACAATACCGTGTGTGTGTGCTAGGAATTGATTTCGGTATATTGCATAAACAATATTTGGTAATAATAAAATAAATAAGAAATTAAAAATAAATTGATAAATAAACTCTATCGGAAATTTGAAGAATTAGAAAGTAAGTTTACATTTATGGATAATCTCCCTCCCCCGCCCCTAAAGGAATCTGTACACGGTTTTATTTTCTAGCGTTTAGGCAAATGTTCTAAGATGTTTCAGAAATTAAGCAGAGGGTGTTGTACTTAATTCTCAGGCTCTAGCTGGTGACAGTGGGGAAGGGACATATTAGTTGCTCCTTACGACAAGCACTGGGATAGAGCTCGCGAGCAAGCCTTTTCTTTAACTGAACCTGCGGAGTCGGATATTGAATAATAACAGCTGATTAGAAGTATTGTGGTAGAATTTTATTACGTTTATTGCTTTGCGTTATCGAGCCATGCTCTCAGACAGCGGGGTGCTTCAGATGTTGGCGGAACCTTTTGATCGTTGTGCAGTTAACGAGGGATGCGCATAACGCCTATCAGTACATTTGAAGTATTTGTTGACATCGCTGTTATAACGAAGTATCTATGCATACGGAAAAAGACTGGGAACTTTGAAGCGTATTCAAGACAGATTTCAATGTCCGTTTAAAATTGTCTATAAGGAAGGGACTTGTTATATGTAACATTGATCCAATAAATTCTTGTTCTGTTTTTGCATGCCAAAATATCTTCTTCATATTCTAAAAATATTTTTTTCACACAATTTAGAAAATACATTTATAAGTCGATGACAAATGCACAAATTTTCTATAGGCATGACGTCAAGACAATCCTCACATTTTCTCGAAGAAGAACATGAATACTTGATAATATAAGCTATGAGTTATGTGTCGGTGAAGCACTAGTCGACCCTAGGAGGAACATTATGATTCTTATAAAAAAGGCTGTATGATCCCGTGTATGGGGCGCAATGAACATTCAAAACATCTCATTCGACGTTAAAGTGAAATATCTCCGATTTTGCCGGAACAGTCAATTCCAACAATTAATTAATGAGATTTATAACATTTCGTGAATTTCGTGTAAAATCCTTTAGAAAGAAAGATTGACATGGCCTGTTATGTAAGTGATATGTACAGATACAGTGTTATCATTTACCCATGTAAAACCTTTCTTCGTAGCGAGAATAGGGGGTATAATTAATAATTAACACCAAGAGATGGAGATTTCCTGATGTCATACGAGTTCTAAGAGTTTTATATTATGTATTTCATCAAGTTAGAAAAAAACACGGTAAAGTGGAAACGAATTAGATTTTCATCACATTGTGATTTTATCACTGATAAAACTGAAAAAATCACAACACTCACATCATCTGTGACATCTTCGCATTGTTCCTTAAGACGGCACAATATGTGATATGTTGGGGCAGGGCGGGATCATTATATGTTACTAGACGGGTACATAAATGGGATTTAAAGGAAAACATGGGAAAATGGCCTTGAAAACAGCGGCATTATAAAAATAAGTCTGGCAACTATAGATGAAAGTAGAGGAGTTGTACAGGTGCTTTGAGAGTTGAAATTGGGAAGTGAAAATTGCTTTATAGTCTCTTAGTTACGTCTAGACGTATTTACATGTGAGAAAACGTATTTACACAAGTAACTATTCATGGAGTTTCTATTGAGACATGAAATTGCCCAGTGGGCGGTTGTGAAATCTATTGTCTTGTGTCCCGGAGGGCGCCAATTACATCGGTTAATTGTCCGAAACAGTATGTCGATAACGGAGTATTTGATAACACTACACGGAACAGTGGATCTTGAATTTGAATGCATTTTCCCGAAATAATAGAATGTTAATATCTTAGTCAACTTTACCTGGGGAATAGACTCTGACGAACTACGCACATGACAACACAAATACGTACTTCACCACCAGGTACGGCCGACCATTCTAAGATAGAACAGGCAGCGTACCAGGCACTGCCACGCCCCCCTTAATGACACTATCTTATGGAACAGGTAAGATAAAATACATTACTGTGAGGCTTGGAGCAGGAATTCTAGGACCACACAGTCATTTAGCCCAAAGCGCGTGTCCTCCCGGATAAGCACGGACAGCTCAATTCTCAAAATTAAATATACCAGAACTATATTTGCTATATATTTCTGTTATTTACAGAATATTTAAAAATATAATTATATATGCTGTTTGGTTTGCAGCTTCCAACGAGGAGAAAAGATCCATAATGTTTTGGAGGAGGAAGCGCCCGGAGAGAGGACTGAAGGTACGCTAAATACACAGGGCTTTCTTTCAGACTTGACAGTTTTCGATGACTTAACGAATTCAACTGAAGTTCACAAATCATGCTTCGTTTTTATCAAGACAAGACAAGATTTTATTCTTTTAAACCATAATTTACATGTGATATTAAGAATATATACAATGGGTAAATTCAAGATAGAGTACGTGCTGTTTTAACCAGGAGAACGGACTCTCTCTATTACTATATTAATATATTTGCATATTTTAACTAGTAAAACTTTGTTATTTGTTAAAAAAGTTGCTGGAATTTTAAACAGTTTGGTTGCCTGCTATACTAATTTGGAATATACAATTTTCTTTCATTTGAAAAATTTGGACAATTAAACATATAATGAAATTCATCTCCAACTTCAGTATTACACAAATGGCATTTTCTATTTCTTCTCTCTATATTTAACCATCTTCCTCTTTCTATTGGAGGTCTGGCATTGCCAGTTCTAAATTCACAGAACATAATGGCATTTTTTTGTAGACAGGATATTTAGATAATTTTCTAATTTTAGTCCATCTTTAAATAATTTATAATTTATTCCTTTGCTGGATTCATTTTTGTCAGAATCCCAATTTTGCAAAAATTGGTAAAATAAAATTCGTTCAACAGTTTTTTTTAACCACAAAATATTTGGAAATGTTTGTGATATCCATATATTGGATAATCCACACTCGTCAAGTATACTTTTCACATATCTCATCCAGGGGATGTGATAACCAGTTTCCCCATTTTCTTCTGCAATTTTGTGAAATAGTAATTTATACAAAATACTGGATATTGTATTAAAATCTGCTTCTACAAGGTTTGCCCAGAAAGTGATCATTCTCACTTTTATATTTATTGATAGGGGATATCTCCCCAATTCGCCATACACCATAAAATTTGGGGTAGACTTATTTCCATGAAGTATGAATTTACAAAATTTAAGATGTAAACGCTCGATCATATTCAAATTACTGAAACCCCATATTTCGCAACCATACAATACAATTGGTTTTATAATTTTGTCAAATAAGTCTAATTGACAATCTATTGACAAGTTTTGAAGTCTACACTTCCTCAATACTGCAAACATAGCTTCTGTTGCTTGAGACACCAGGTATGTTTTGTTACAGGTATATCCACCTGATCTACTTAACATAAAACCAAGATATTTCAATTCCTTTACAATCTCGATTTCATCATTATTATAAGTAAACCTTAGATTTCTATTTAAACGACCTTTGGAAAAGATCATTATTGTTGTCTTCGATACATTTACTTTTAGTTTCCATATTTCGCAATATAGCTGAAAACTATCTAATTGTTTTTGTAAATCCCCTGGTGTTTCAGCAAACAGAACTGTATCATCTGCATATAATAAGGTTTCCAAGTACAGATATATAGACAACTCATTTTGCAGAGTATTATTTACAGATTCTAAACCTTTAATACCTCGACCTTGTAAAAATTGTTCAGGGTCATTTAAGCAGAGAGAGAACAAAATCGGCGATAAATTTTCGCCTTGTCTAACTCCAATATTACATGGGAAATATTCAGATTTACAATTAATCAAAGCTATTCTGGATTTAATACCATCATAAAGATTAAAAATTACTCTAAAACATTTTCCGTTAATATTACAGTTTACTAATTTTTGCCATAACCCTGTTCGCCAAACCGAGTCAAAGGCTTTTTGAAAGTCAATAAATGCACAATACATTTTTTTTTTTTTTTTACTAATTTTCAATAATTCAAATAGAACATGTGTTATAAAGTTATTGTCAATTGTAGAATATCCTTTACGAAAACCAGACTGATTTTTGAAGAGGAGGTCAACTTGATCAGAGAATCTTCCCAACCTGTTATTCAAAATTGACGTGAAAAGTTTCCCCATACAGCTCAATTCCGTCTTTGCGTATTGCAGAGTTATCTTATCTTGGGAGCAGGTATTGATTGTTACGTCACTTGTTTGTGAGAATAACGTCATCAATTTTTGAGAAACCGACGTTATTTTCTCACACAGACCAATGACGTAACAATCAATCCCTGCCCCCAAGAGAAGATAACTCTGCAATACGCAAAGACGGAATAGAGTAATTGGGCGATAATTCGCAGGATCAAGTTGATCAGCTTTGTTTTTATATATGGGCATAATATTCCCTTCCAGCCATATTGTGGAAATTATTCCCGTATTAAATATGACATTAAATAATTATACATATATTCCGTCTTTGCGTATTGCAGAGTTATCTTCTCTTGGGGACAGGTATTGATTGTTACGTCATTGATTTGTGCGATAAAATTACGTCGTTTTCTCAAAAATTGACGACGTTACTCTCACAAACAAGTGACGTAACAATCAATACCTGCTCCAAAGAGAAGATAACTCTGCAATACGCCAAGACGGAATAGGTAGCATAAATTCACATGTAGAGGAAATGTACTCGTTTACAATCAAGTCATTTCCTGACGATTTATTATTTTTCAAACCTTTGATACATTTCTTAATTTCTTCTGATGATATTGGTTGGTATATAATGCAATCATCTTGATTGATGTTCAACAATAAATCATCGAAACTATATTCTAAATCATCCGTAGAGTTAAGTTCTTTAAAATAATCAAACAATGCAGTTATATTTATGTTTGTGATTTCTCTTTTCTTATTTGACAAGTTTAAAATTTTCCAATATGCTTTTGGGTCAGATGACCGCATATTTTTTAATTTGTTATACAATTCGGTTCTATACATTTTCATTCTTTTGTTTAACATTTTTTTTTATAATTTTTCTCCGCTTTATATTTCTCTTCGTCAAAAATACTGGAACTATATTTATTGTACAATCTTTTTGCTCTCTGATAATTCTGTCGAGTAGATTTACAGTCTTGGTTAAACCAAGGCTTGTTTACATTTACAATAGTTTTCCTGGAGTTATTAGAGTTTCTAATACTTGTAACTCCAAAAGTAGTTTTTGCAGATGATACAAAACATTCACATATTTCTTTCAAAGTATCATCCATAAAAGATAAGTTTACATTTTCAGTTCTGACATAACATAGTTTTTTCATATATTTCAAGCATTAATTCAGTATTAACATTTTCACAAAAGTCAATTTTTTTTTTCATTATCTCACTTTTTTGGTTTTTCACATGAATCAGTTTGATTTTCATGTACCATATTTGCATTTACAAAGTTTGAATTTAACACAAGTGAAAGTGGGCAGTGAATATCGGAAAATAAACTAGAAAAATTTAATATACTAAAATCTTCAACCAACTGTAAACAATCAATTGTCACAATACAATAATCGACAACACTTATGTTTTTACAGGTGTGTTTTCCGATATTTTTATCTCTGCCGACTCGACCGTTCATAATGTACAGATTATTAAATTTGCACATTTCTCAAAGTAGATTTCCATAGTGATTTTTCTTTGTGTCCATGCTATTTCTATTAATTGACAGACCAATTTCTTCTAATTTGTATACATTTGACAGCTGTTCAATATATTAAGGATTTGTAAAATCATTTTGATTTTCTCCTTCAATATTTTCGAGAATACAATTTTCGTTTGCAACTCTGCTATTAAAATCTCCTGTCAAACAAATACAATTATGATTAGCTGACATTGTTATTAACTCGTGTTCAAGTTCATTAAACGCATTTGCTGATGAATAATCAGAATTTTCTGGCGGTATATATACAATACCACAAATAAGGTTTTCATTTATATTCAAAACACAGGCTTTCAATTGAAACCACAAGACATACAATGTACTGACTATCTGTGTTAATAACTTTTATAAAGTTTACTAAATGATTATTTGCTAATAAAACTATTCCTCCTGACCGCTTATGGGACAGGGATGTTCTGTTCTTCATACCTATACATTCAAAGCCAGGTATATCTATATGATCACAGTCATCTGTTTTCGATTCCGTAAAACATAATATGTCATAATTTGTAACGAGTTCTATGAACTCCGGGTAATTTGATCGTTGTTTAAGACCACCTACGTTAATTGTTAATATTTTGACACCTGTACGGGTGTCGTTACTTGAAAAAAAAAGATGACTTTTGCTAGGTTCTAGGAAATTACTTGTAGTTGATTATCATAACGCTGCTTCCGAATCCCACGAGGCCAGCCAGACGGACCGAGGCAAGCCAAAGGGCCCGAGGCCAGCCAGAGGGGCCGGAAGCTCGAGGGACGATAAGAGTCTCAAGTAGATGTAGTGGGAAATGGAAAAGTTATGCATATGTATCATAATCTGTATACGAACTCATACAAAAATGCCGAACTTATCATATATTATTTTCAATATCGCTCTTTATCCTTTTATAACACAATATTTAAAGTTTTTATATTTACTTTACCAAACGGAATGTAAAGGTTCTGGAACAGACGAGGCGTAATTTACTATAAATTGTTTAAATGAAACTACAAAATATGTACGACATGTTGTGTCCTGGGCGTCTATGGCGATACGAGTCCAGAGTATAAACATGGACGATTTCAAAACGTATAAAGACTCGTGGGAAATGTCTTGGAACATAAACGTTTTTGGATAAACTGACTGACTGTTCAAGCCCGCTATCTTGTTATGGTAACATTTCAATATTGTAACTAGTACCAAGGTAGTTATGTCCGTATGTCAATATTGTTACTAGTACCCAGCTAGTTATGTCAATATTGTTACTTATACACAGCTAGTTATGTCAGCATGTCAATATAGTTACTAGTACCCAGCTAGTCATGTCAGCATGTTAATATTGTTACTAGTACCCAGCTAGTTATGTCAGCATGTCAATATTGTTACTAGTACATAGCTAGTTATGTCAGGATATCAATATTGTTACTAGTACATAGCTAGTTATGTCAGTATATCAATATTGTTACTAGTACCCAGCTAGTTATGTCAGTATATCAATATTGTTACTAGTACCCAGCTAGTTATGTCAGAATGTTAAAATTGTTACTAGTACCCAGTTAGTCATGTCAGTATGTCAATATTGTTACTAGTACACAGCTAGTTATGTCAGCATGTCAATATTATTACTAGTACACAGCTAGTTATGTCAGCATGTCAATATTGTTACTAGTACACATCTAGTTTTGTCAGCATGTCAATATTGTTACTAGTAACCAGCTAGTTATGCCAGCATGTCAATATATAGTCACAAGTACTGCGCTAGTTATACCAGTTTTAGATATCGTTATTAGTATCGAGCTAGTTAACTCAGTATTTCAATATTGTTACTTTTACTCAGCTATATATCTCAGCATATCTTATTTTGTTTGTTTTTGTTTTTGTTTTATACCGAGCAATTTACTTTTTATTTAACAGAAGAAATGTTCAAGATTTTAGTTTCCTTGGTCACATTTTCATTCGAGCTTCAGTTCAGTAGCATTTTTCTATTCAACTGGGAAACATCATGTTGAAAAAAAATAGCGACTGAAAATTTGGAAAAGACAACCTGAAAATACTTAAAAAATAGAGTCAACAAATAAAAGTTGTAACAAATAAGTAATTTAAATACTTTAGTTTGAAAAATACTCACATGGTCTCTCTAACATTTTTCAACTTGACAGATCCAGGGGTTACTTTTTTATTGGGTTCACGCATATCTGTATTTCATTGACAGGCATTGGCGGAAGGCGGCTTGGCTTTTGCTAGGACGTACTCAAATATCTTAGCCCAGACCGAGTCCAAACTTGACCATGCCATTGATAGAGATAACAGGAAACCGAAATCGACCATTGGCAAGTACGTAGCACTTACTATCTTTCGAGTCTATACTCGATTACATCATACAAAGACATTAGTTAAAATGTGTAAAGCTATTGTAAGATCTGGATCACAACGTACGAAGGAAGAGATTGATTTAGGACATAACGTGCCTACGAGTTGAAACAGTATTACTATTTTCTCTATTTTGAAATATTTGTGTAATTCATTTGCTTTAGAAGTTTCTCATATAAAATATATATTGCGAAGCATTTTAAAGAATTACAATTCTCTGAAATTAGAGTATTAAAAAAAAAGACAACGAAAAGGAAAATGTAGAAAAACATATCTTCAATTTACAAGGGGTAACACAAATGGACTCAAATCCAGGAAAGAGGAAGACTAATACATAGCTGTGAACCGGAACACTTCTTCACCATTATCACTGGTGTAGTGGAAGAAATGAATATTGTTTAATTTGATTAATAGGGTACGGATGAAGGGTGAAAAGATAATCCACAGTAAACAAGTACTGCTTTCTATAGTCCTTCTCAACATAATAGACTGTATACTGGTGCTGGGGGAGCTAATCCTCGACATCTACATCCTCAAAGGTACGTTTTGTTCGATTGTTTACTTTTAAAATTACTTGTATGTTCATTTTACGACGGGGTCTGATGATGTTCGAGTCACAAAAGGGTCATATATTGTGTCAGCACAATGAAATGCTATAGTTTGAACAAAGTGACAAGATCGTTATTCCGAACAAACTTAATACACTTGTAAACATAAGATGTGCCCAGATAGACCACAGAAGGAATAGGTACATCCCTTCGGAGGGAAAACAGGTATTCAGTGTTGCCACACGTCAACTGTCATCTCTTTGATGTCTCAAATAGAAGGATAAAGAAGATTATATATATTGTTTTGCAGTTCCAGACTCACAGTACTCGTTTCTGGTTCCCCAAAATCAATCGACTTCACAAATAAATTGTCTTTGCAGCTCTTATATCAGCTAAAACTGTAGCCCTATAAGTTGACTCAAATGAGTTACCTATGCAGTCCTCACATTAGTCGCCGCCTCTGCAGCCCTCACATTAGTCACCTCTGCAGTCTTCATATAACTCACCTCTGCAGGCCTTACATTAGTCACCTCTGCAGTCCTCACATAAGTCACCTCTGCAGTCCTCATATAGGTCACCTCTGCAGTCCTTACATTAGACACCTCTACAGGCCTTACATTAGTCACCTCTGCAGTCCTCACAATAGTCACATCTGTAGTCCTCACATTAGTCACCTCTGCAGTTCTCACATTAGTCACCTCTGCAGTCCTCACATTAGTCACCTCTGCAGTCCTCATAAAGGTCACCTCTGCAGTCCTCACATTAGTCACCTCTGCAGTCGTCACATTAGTCATCTCTGCAGTCCTCACAGTATAACATCGCATTGATAGTGTCCCATATATCAAACTCTTCGTTGTTTTATTAAGTCATTTTGCATTTATCTCACAATACTTACAATTGCCACTGTTTCGGAATCGATAACGTAAGTGTAGGCAAGTCTGTTCATTTATCAATAACGTGAGTGTAGAACGTGATCCAGTTCTCACCGCGTATGAATATATGTAAATATGCCCAGACTTCTTTCCACAAACCTCGTGTCAATTTTTACAAACAAACGCTAGCATTTAGACTACCGTGCGTTCGAGACACCAAATGATGTCGGGTTCGAGACAAGACAGATCATGTTCATAACCGGTCATAAAAATGAAGCTAGTGTCAGAAGCTACAGTCGCGATTGTTCGTCGATACAAAAACGCTCCACCAGCTCCACTCTCTCATCTATGAGTGTCGGCACAGAAACGATGGCTATTGTTCCTAGAAATGTAGGTCAAATTTCTCGTCTCCTAAATGTTAATTTAACAGTCACTCGGTCGACAAACGATTTATACACATCATACATTGACATGACATCTGTACAAACCTCTGGTTTGCTTACAAACAGCAATTTCAATAACTGCACATTCAACTTCCACCAGGCCTAGGCTAGTCACTATCGCTCGACGACATGGTAGCATTCTCTATTTCCCGCCTTTGGGCGCATCACTTTTAAAAAATGGACGTCCGCGGTCATTAGTATTTTCTACGAAGTATTTTGCCCCCGTACCTCAATTTCATACCAATATAAAATCATTTATTCCATTACCTTCTAACACAATTATGAAGATATTGTATGAAGTTAAATATGGATATTTGATGTGAATAAAAATATTGAAATGGTGGAACTTTTTTCATTTGTCGTCACGGATAAAGTGGGCGGGGTTTAGCTGTCTATCAACGGCTTTTGCGAATGGCTGTTTCGCATGGATTAATATGACGTCAAAATAATTTTGAACACAGATTACACAAGGTAAATGCATGTATCCGCCTCTTTAAATCGTTTTATTGTTAAAAGTAAATATTGTAAATATAAGGATTAACCTTTTATTTTGTTTAGTTTATGAGATAATAAACCCAATGGAGCACGAGGTAACTTGTTCGTAAACGCTTTGCGCTTTGCGTTTACGCAATTTACCTCGTGCTCAATTGGATTTATTATCTCATAAACAAAACAAAATAAAAGGTTAATCCTTATTTAGCAACAACATAATGACGTAAACGTTTTATTTCAGCGGGTATTCATTTTCAATGGTTTAATGGGCATACTGTTTATGAGTATGACGATCAGTTACATTTCAAATATATATCGGAGTCACAAATTAAAGACATAATGTATTGAGGAATGTATTTCTCGTTGTATGTCGCTGGTAAACTGTGCGTTATCTGACAAGCGTTCTGAAATGTGAACCGTCTTGTGTTATTCTAGCACAAAGCTGCAAAAGTTTAACATAGATAGCAATAAAATAAAGACGATCTAAAAATTTGATACTTTAAAAAAAAGTATGAGAGATAAATTACATTCGAATGACGTCAAAGCTCTATATCAATCTCTGTCGCGTTAGTGGCACTAACACTAGTGGAAAAAAAGCGTGATGTTAATTTTGAGATGTTAAATATACTTTTGTAGTATATAGCAATTTTGACGGTAACCAACCGAAAGCTCTTAACATTTTTTATTGCAAAACAAGAGCCTCATGTTTGTAATTAATTCCTTATGGCTCTTACACTCATTGACTCAGAGAAATTCCTTACCTCTGCATTTTTCATAGTAAAGCAGTTCTGAAGTTTAGGAAATAGTATCACTGTAGCAGTAATACCGCAGTCAGATATGATTGCATTGTGTGTGAAGTTCAGGAGTTGTTTTAACGACGTGGATTGGAGTTATTGATAATGCCAATTGGAGTTGTTTGGTAGTGTTGGTAAGAGCTAAATGATGACGAAGCTCTGTTTATTTGGTAATATAGAGTTGATGGATGATGCTGCTTACAAATATTGTATAATGTAACTCGGAGTTGTGTGGAATTGGTTGATGACATTTTTCGAAGTTTGATGATTCAGATCTAAAAAAATTGTTGATAATAATAATAATAATAATTCGAAGTTCTTATATACGGCTTTATCACAACCTAGTTTGTAGGTCGTCTCAAAGCGGTTCACAAATTATTATCCGCGGTTATAGGGCCTTTGCAACCAGCCAATATCTTTCTCAACTCCATGGGGAGCATACAGCCGGTGTTGTCATTGCGGCGCTCACAGCTAGCATTCTACAATTCTAGTACTTCCCAACCACGAACTCATTCACAGCTGAGTAGACTGTAACAAGCGGGGTAAAGTATCTTGCTCAAAGATACAATACAGTGCCGTGACGAGAGTCCAACTCGCAACCCTTCGGTCACGAGCTCGGCGTCCTACCACTAGACTACCGTGCCTCCCTTCGGTCACGAGCTCGGCGTCATACCACTTGACTGCCGTGCCTCCCTTCGGTCACGAGCTCGGCGTCCTACCAATTGACTGCCGTGCCTCCTAATGTAGTTTGAGTTTTTCTTGTTGATGAACAGTCTACTGTTGGTATTTACAGGTGTCTTAGATAAAGCAGAATACAAAGAGCTAAACTTTGTAATAAATATGAAGCAGCTATACCCGGATCATCTTGCTCCACTGGATAAAACAGATATTGGCATTTTATATGATAAGGTATTGGAGGCTCACATAGAGTGGGATAAAGGGACACGCAATTCTCACGGAACTGACACGTCATTGACGTCACACAACCCCGCAAATTTCACTTTCTTGACCACCATTAACCCATCCAGCAACACCGAAACTGCAACCCCATCAGTGAGACGCAAAAGAGCTATTACTTCTGACAACGGTAGCCATGGCAACACCACGGTTGATCTGCATGGAAACAGTACAATTCACCACGACGACCACGAACATGAGCATCCACTCGAAGAGGAACTTGCGCACGCATTCCACAAAGCTAGCATCGCCATATTGGCAATTTTAGCCGTTGAGGTTTGTATCCAATAGCACATTAGCTCACTTTCAGTGTCCTATAAGTGGTGTTTGACAGGTGAAAAACATAATCTTGATCCGTATTGCATTTCTTGAACCCTATTAATTGTCGACAGGTTTGTTTTCACACAAGTACGACTCGTTATTGTTGGACAAAGATAAGGCAAACAGAAATTGTAATGTACATGCGTTCATAATCTAATTGTCTAAAAGCGTCAAACGCTATCAGTATGCGTTGTGTGAAGCAATGTTTGATACCTCAGATGTCTCTTACGAATCTTTCAAAATCCGATTTTCCCCGCTTCCTGATTTTAGTCATACTCGTAACTGTGTCCGTATTTTCAGACGATGCTGAAGGTTTTCTTTTTCGGAAAAGAAATGCTGGAAAGAAAATTAGAGGTAAGATATATTTCCTTGACACACGTATATGCCAGATTTCCCCCTTTGCAGTGCTCAATCTAACTTTTCGTTTGATGAAACTAATCATTCTTTTTTTCAAATTTCATTAAACCAAATATTGATAATAAAAAAGTGGCTAAGGTTTCCAACCTTATAGTATGATGGTGGTGATTGTATTTGTGTCAGGTTGTGATATAAGGCTTCACAGTTCTCTTTGCATATAACGAAAGGTCCCAGAAAAAAGGTTCGCCTTACTTTGCAGGTCCTTTTTGTTTCTATAAAAATCTTGCTTCCACTCAAATGTCTATGACTGTTGTTTCTCAATGATATGCCCTTCTCTCCTCAGATGTTTGACGGGTTCATCGTTTTTGCTTCGTTCGTAGTCGATATTGTCTTCCTAAAAGGAATGAGTGGGATGCACGTGCGAGAGATGGTGGTCATTTTGGCGTTCCTGGTGCCATGGAGAGTCATCCGAGTGGTCAACAGTACGTAAAAAACGACAACAGTAAACCCCGATATAAAGTGCTCATCGTGTCACGTGCCACTTTGCTACCCGCCAACACATTTGAAAGTCCCCAAATTTCCTCTTAATTTGATAAAGTTTTTATAATCTCTCTCGATATATCGTCGCAAACCTCTAACGATACACTTAGCTGAACAAATGATGTCGGTATTAAGAATCTCCGTACAATGCCAAAAATATAACTATACAACGGAAACTGTTTCCGGCGTGATTATCGCTTTGATAAATCATTTCAGAAGAGTGAACATTACGTTGTGGAATGGATATATTTATACCACACGGGAACACAGCTCATTATGCTGGCGCTCTACCTGGCCGATGGAAGTATACTGGCCAAGTAGTGCTACAGTTATATCCAAAGCGGAATAAAAGGGAGGCTACTGTACGGGAGAAAAAACTACAGTGTGGATCTTTAGTGGGATTTTTTTAGCGAAGGGGATGAATTAGAACATGTGTAAAATGATTTGGTCATTACGCTTTACAATGAGGAACTGTGCCTTCCCATTATTTAAACAACATCTATTTTTAGCTCTGTGTTTCATCGCTGTGAGCTTGACCGCATATTTGAGCTCTGTGTTTGATATCTGTGAGTTTGACCTGCATATTTGAGCTCTGTGTTTGCGCTCTGTGTTTAACCTGCATATTTGAGCTCTGTATTTGACCTCAGTTTTTTACTTTAATTTTAAGGTTTGGTTGTTGCCGTTATTGATCATGAACATTTCCGGATGAAGTTGCTGTACAAACAAAAGAAAGAAGTATCTACTGATCTTAAGAAAATGAAGGCTGAAAATAAGTCTCTGATGGTAAAGATTTTGGGAAATAAGTATCTACACTTAACTGTGATACCACCCAGTGTAATATCATAAAGAACAATGAGATGCCGTCATGGATTCATAATAGAAAGAAAACATGGCAACGTATTTTGTTTTTGTTCTATCAAATTCTACAAGCTATGTTATTAATGTCTCTCGGTAAAGCTTATAACGAGATCTCGTTGGAGATATTTTGTTATATTTTTTAAAGCGTATTGATTTTGCTTTTTTTGCATAGATGGACTATTTATGTAATTTATTATCACAAAAAGTGTATGAAAACAGCAAATATCCTCTTTATCCTTTCATGAAGACACTCTTTACGACATAATTATCTGAGAATTTGCTATATGTACTTTCAAATGGCCATAACTACTTCATTCCTTCTCCAATCATGTTAAAAGTATTTGTTTACGGCATACATCTTTTTTTTTTTAACTATGACTTGATAACGATATTGAATTTCCTTCTCTACCAGAACGGGATAGATATACTGAAGAAGATGGCGATTAGCGCTGGAGTCACAGAACAGGATATTGAGAAGAGTCTGGGTAAGTCCAATCAATAATATGTAACTAATGATTGTGTTTAGCGCAGTGACTAGGTCTGATCGAGGTATTTGTTTTGACTTCTTTTATTAAAAACAGTCCCGTCCGTTATAACGGGAAGAAACTGCATTGACTACCCATCTGCATAATCTTGGCTTCAGGACATCCTCCCCTCTCCCGGCCTCCTACTCTCATCCCCAGAAAATATTTGAAAAAGGAACAAATTGATATGCTTTTGAATATACTGCTTTAATATCAGCTTTTCCTTTTTTTAATATTTTGATCAGTTCCCCGGAAAAAAATGGAGGTGATGGGGGAATGGCATTTAATCCAAACCTGCAAATTTAAACAATTCTTTTTACTTTTCTCTGGACCCATCTTATGCTGACATTTGTTTTCATGGTGCTAACATGTTTTAATTTTATTGCTGCTACAGCTATAGCTAATGTGAAGGGTAAGAAGAAGAAAGGGCCGTCCATTTCGTCAATAGCAGCCAGCCATTTCTCCTCAAGCATGAAGAAAAACTCAACGTCTGTGTCCAGTGAACCGAAAACCAGAGTACCGTCTATCGAAGAGAGTGAATTAGAAAACGATGTGTTCGGCAAGGTCGATGACCCCAAGTCTCCAGTATAGTGACGCTTGTTATCATTACGTAGATGCTGTGTTGGAGGAGCTACCAGGTTTATGCCAACTTGAAGGAATTCATCATTTTCCACACAGTCATACGTCTATAAGAAGACAAAGTATGATTGATATCTTATCAAAAATATGATAACTAAGGGAATAGGAGAGAGGGAGGTTGGTAGTTATATTTCCTGTTATGTATACAGGAAGGCATGTCTCCTATCGGTCATACTGCAGGTAGAAATGGCTGCCTGGATTCTCAGAACGATGAGTGACGCTTGTGTTCAAATGCTTCTTCGGCACGAGGCCTTTTTATCAAGGGCTACGATGTTGATGTATATGCTTTGCTGTATGACTGGACCAACCTTGTATTTTATCAATAGCAAAGAAATTGTGATCATCTTTTGTATTCGGTTAAGTTTAATAAAATGTTTTATGCAATCTGTTTGTACATGTGTATTAACATTACACATATACACACTCTGTTTATATTTTTATAAAACTTACAAAAAAAAGTCTCAGTTTATGGCAAAAATTAATATGGTATGACGATATGTATTTCGATATGATACATTTATGACGAAAAATGAGATGTATGACGATATGATAAATATGTGACGAAAAAAGAAGGAAACAGTAATAAAAAAACAAAAAGTTGCATACAAAGCAGAAAGAAGGAAAATGTGAGAATTGAAAAGGAGCGAGAAAAGGAAGAAGAAAACTAATGTGTTTTTGATTAGTTTGATGCGTTTTCATGTGACAAGATACTGTATGTTCATAGACGCTGATAGTACTTTCATGCATTAAATACATACCTATCAATTGTGTAAGGATGCAGAAAAAGATGACAGGAATAGTCAATAAGATTTGTTTCCATTTACCCCGCATATTTTAAACGGAAGTAGACACGTTTGCTTTAACTATCATCAGTATACATCTGGACTGACTACGTTTCTTTAATATATTGTTTTAATCCGTTTATTGATAGTGAGTTGAAAGCATCTTTATAAATATCATAAAGATAAGGAAAAATGATTGTCAGTTGTATGTATTTTGGTTATATTTTAAATTCAAATACCAAACGTTTCATTTTTTTTATGCAAAAACAAAATAGTCAATATAAAAATCACAAAAAACCCCAAAAGCGTATTCAATGGTCTCCAATTTTGTGTTATATCTATGTCAGTCGTGGCTATCAGCAATTCCTGCCTGGAAAGATATTGAATAAGTTGTCAACGTGCTTTTGGTAACTTCAAACTGAAACCATAACAGATTTATATAATCTTGTATATTCATTGTATTTTTCATCATCATCTGCATTAAACTATCCTCGTTTTTCTTTTTTACCTTTTGCAATTTCATGTTTTACTAAGAATATTACTGATGAAAAAATTTTGTGCAATTTCTTTTTTATTTCTGAAAAAAATGATTTATTTATGGACAAGGGATAAAGAACTATTGCTTTGGTATTTTTGGAAAGTATAACTTCTGTAAACTCCTACTTCAATTCTTTAACAAATATATATCTTTCATTTTCTTTATCATAACGATATCGTTTATCATTAACTAATATCATATAAAGAAGATAATTTAATCGTCTATCTTTGCCTTTTAATCGACCAAATTTGTGTTTTCAAAGAAGAATTCAAATTGATATAGTCTGCTTTTCTAGACAACTTTTTTCCACAGTAAGAATTATCTTTCCATAACCGATTTATTATTTATATGGTTACGTTGTACGTTCCATTATTTACTCATAAATTTACATGTTTCATTGGTCGTTATGTCTCTTGCCAATTACCAGGTGCCTTAAATGATCTTTGTTGTCCAAGTCCACATGAAAGATTCAGAGAAAGACTAATTAATTAAAATTTACAAAATAAAACCCCAAACAAACTGCTTAATTGCTTTTTTTAATATTATTGTGCAACAGAATGTAAACTTGTACAAATATTAATCAAGCTTGATGGTCAAGACGGATGCGCAGAAAAAGATGTGTCTTGTTTGCGGGAAGAAGTCGAAATGTCCAGAGAAAACCCAAGATTGATGAATTTTCAAAATCATCATTTGCTGGAAAAGCGAGGTTGACTTTCTATGAAAGGAGAGGTTTCGGTTAACCCCACACTAGGCAATGCTTAATTGTTTACGTGCCTATAACTATGTGGAGATTACAAACTTGTTCAATTTCCACAAAATTGCATGCATGGAAAAAAATCAATAAAGGCATTATTAAACTAATCACTAGGAACGTCTACTCGGAGATCTGTTTTGTGTATATAACTTGTTGATATTATTTTTACTGGTATTTTTGTTACATATGAATGCAAATTAAATATGAAAAATAAAATATATCTATATATATCTATATATATTTGACATTTGCGCTTTATATATTGGATATGAAATTGTTACTTGATTTTCTCAAATCTCAAACATTTAATTTCATGTCTTATCTGAGCCTATTACTTTGGAGCAAAATTCTTTCGTTTAACACAAATTAAGTATAATATTATTACTATCACCACCATTCATTGGTATAAGCGTGAATATATCTTACCTAGAGTCTTTATTATTTTGTGTAGTATATCCATGCAATACAGCACCAACAAAATATTATCAAAACTCAGTGGTTAACATCTCGTTCTTACTACTTTCAAAATGAATTCATACAGAACTTGCGAGTTATCTCGCTTAGCCCACATCCTCCCAGTAAACATGATAGGTTTACTTGCAAAATATGTTCTTCATCCATGTATTTGCCTGCATGGATCAGTTTATTTAATCTCTTAAAATATTGATGTTGGGAAACATGACAACATTAACCTAATTACCAAAAGGAAATAGAGGACCTATATCGGCTTCATGTTGAATACATATATATGTATTTCACGAGTCTGGCAGACACCGGTATTTTTTGCACGAGCGCGAAGCTCGAATGAAACATATAGTGTTTTCTTCCTTCAAAATGAAATGAATATGGTACCCAGCGGGAAAACCATTAATATTGATTACGTTTTAAACCACGAATGAGTAAATGTATCTTATTATAAAATGTGCAAGACATACTGGCGTTCAATTCGGTGTCATACTCTGATGATTGCAGACTGGACAACAAGACTGATCGCCATTTTGAATGGGTAACTCAACGCAGTTCTATCCTTTTTTGGTAGTTTCTGGTAATAATTATTTACAAAAATGAAATCCATGGTTTAATAAAGTAACCTAACAAAGAAGTCCTACACAACCTCGCTTCATCTGCAACTCCATACAGAGGAATCTCCGTTTTTTGTGTCGCCTGCGACGGATGTCGGAAAGACACATATATAGGCGCTGCTTTTCCGACGGCGACGGCGGCGTCAACAATGTTAAGGTTTTGCGTTTAGCTCTGTTCCTGACAAAGTTACACCAACAAAACCTCGATCATAGATGAAGCATGGGTAGTGGAGCCTACTGCACTAAAACATTTCATTGATTTCTGCATTTTTTTGGTAAAAAACTCAAATTTCTGGACTTAGACAAAAACTGAACGTTAAGGTTTTGCGTTTAGCTCTTACATATTCGGCTGTTACTGACAAAGTATAAATGCTAGAGCAACCGAACTTGGGTCATAGGTTTATCATGGAATGTATAGCTGAATGCATTACACTCTTTACTAGCATTTCGACGATTTCTGTATTTTTTGCTAAAAACCTCAAATTTCTGGACTTAGAAAAAACCCTCAACGTTAAGGTTTTGCGTTTAGCTCTTGCATATTAGGCTCTTTCTGACAAAGTATAAGATCTAGACCAGCCAAACCTCAATCATACATGTACCATGGGTAGTAGAGCCTACTACTCTAAAAACATTTCTTGGATTTCTGCACTTTTTCGGATAAAAACCTGAAAGAGATATGGCGGGTTGCTATGCCTATTTCCCCAAAGCTATGTTACGCTAGTGCGCGCAGCCAACCGTGCACTGTTATGACGCGTCCTCAGGTATTTTTTATACAGGTAGCAATATCGGAATCCCGTGTCTAAGAATAGCTTATTGTAAACAAACCACATATTTGGTATTTCGGCATTATTTGTTGGTGTTTAAGCACTTAATATAATTACTATTGCCAGTTGGAGTGTAAAACAATTCACAAATTTCATCAAAAATAGTAGCTGTACTGTACACGTGTACAGGGATTTGTTGAAATGCTTCGATAGAAGTATGTCGCACTAAATAGTAAAGAAATTATTACTAACAAAACTGATAAATCAATAGGTATGTTATAAAAATGAAAACAAAATTTTCCATCGATTTAAAAAACCCACTATTGCCTTATTAAGGAAACTGATCACATTTCTAAATATTTAAAAAAAATATATAACTGAAGGAGGATTCGAACCTGCACCGTTTATTTTCTAGTCGCAAGTAAACTGCGTTACACATTCGGCTGCATAGAACATATAGATATCGGCAATTACAAACTTATTTAACCCGAGAAACACCGGTCGCAGTTTAGAGAAACTTGATCACCCCTGTTTTCATTATTTTGAGCACTTTCCCAAAGGAGGACCACTTTTCGTTATACGATTACATAGAACATATAGATATCGGCAATTACAAACTTATTTAACCCGAGAAACACCGGTCGCAGTTACGAGAAACTTGATCACCCCTGTTTTCATTATTTTGAGCACTTTCCCAAAGGAGGACCATTTTTCGTTATACGATTTGTTTTTGCAAATTACATCACGGTCACAAAAAGTTTATTCAAAAGTTGGTCCTCGGATGGGAAAGTGTTGAAAGTATTTTTTTAAGTCCGGGAAACCCCATCACCTTCATAGATATAGTGTATATGGCTATATTTGCAGTATCATATTAGCAATACCTAATTTCTCAGCAGTTTAAAAATTCATATTCAATTGGTTTTGTATCTTTTGTATGCATTTTTGTTACCCGAAATGTTTTACTCCTTAATTTTTGTCCCCGTTTTCATAAATGCCGACTTAGGGAAATACGGGCAGTTTTCCGCCATACCTCTTTCTGGACTTTAAAATTAATTTATTATTAATATCATCACATGTAAATGAATTTCATTTTGTATATTTTCACTGAAGTTTTATTTTTTATCAAATTATAATCATAATTTGTTTTATTTTACTGGTAAAAATAATTTAAAATAAACTACTGCTATACAAAGTAGACGAGAAGGAAAGATAAAGACAGTGTACTTACAGTGTATGTTTGTACCATACAAGTCGGTGCACCTGTAGCACACCAAGTGTTAATGTGGTTGTTTTCAAGACGAAATATCTCGAAAACCCTTTTGATATAGAGAGAAAATCGAACTTTCAAAATGTTGGTCCTCCTCCCGAGGACCAGAATGTAACCCTTTTTGGAATATTTTTCAAAGCGGCACGTCTGGGGCAGACATTTCTTTTGTTAAATGTATCAAACAAAGTATCCATCTTCGATATATCTGCAATGTTGTTATGTTTGGAACAGGGCCCTTACAGCTAATATGAAGCTTTGTAATTTTGTTAGTCTCTTTGACCTAAATCGGTAGCACGTGGTTCTCTGTCCTCGTGAACTCAATACAATGCACATCCGACGTAACTAGGTCTGGTATTATGATCAGCGACGAGCCTGAATTTTAGGTCGGTACCCGTATGTCAATGTAACTGTTACTAATACCCTGTATCATGTATCCCGATAGGTCACAGCACCATAATTGGGTATTTACTTCTTGAACCAGTTGTACATAGCGAGCATGCGTGGACGTTATAGCCTGTTCTTGTGACCCGGACAGTTTGTTACGATGTTAACGCGATTCCGAGGCGGTGTGATGAGTACATGGGTTACCTCATGTCCAACGAAATAAAATACAAAAATGTATTGAACACATTTACATTTATTAGAACCTAATTTTAATTCTGCTGAGTCTACTTGATATTTCCTTCCGATTAACAGCTATGAGTTGTTCAAAGATCTCTGATGTAATAATACTAAAACAATCTTACTCGTTATCACACGATGATTCAGGTACAGCTCATGATTTCCGTTTGTCATCAAAAAGGCACAGGCAAACAAAAAAATATGAAAATAAACAACATTAACGCTACACTATTATTATTTTTAAATATCGCCTTAAAAACGGCTTTTCGTTTGAACTTCGCACAAACAATCGTTGCCTTATAGTAATTAACGGCAGCTTATCTAGGTCAAGGAGGAAAAAAATGAAATTATTGACGTCTGCGGCATACATTCTACTGTAACTTGTGTATATGGATTTGCCTTGTTGGGAAAAAAACGTTCTGTTTCGTTGCGTTATGTTTTCACTTTTCCGTTTTATCGATTACACCATGTCGGTTGTGCAACTGGTTAGATAGAGACATACATTGTACATCCGACTTGTGCGCGTGTATATCCTCGCTGTAGACGCCCTCTACTGGAGTTTGACATACCAGACGTCGCGTTATTAACGCACCAGCACGTGCATTTCATGAATAATCACGATGTGTCATTTCTAATGTCGGCAATTTATTCGTATTTCTTTATATTTACTCGATATTTCGGTGCGTAAGAAGTCTGGATTGGATTGATTTACCGTTTTATTATGCGAGATTCGTTAGCTTGGATAGATATGCTACACAAAGAGTCCGTACAAACATTGATATATAATTAAGCATTTGTGCAAAAGCACGTGAATCCGCCTAGCTGGAGTTTACACAATTGAATATGTAGCTGTTCGCTACTTTACATAAAGGTTACACGGTAAATAATCTGATCAGTCCATTAACTTACATTTGCATTTGAATGGTTGCATGTCCACTCTATCATAGCAATGTGAACCCAAATGATGTCACGTGGTTTGGATTTGAACTCTTAGTAGTTAACAACCGTATTATACGAATTAAATACAAGCCTAATATGCCTCTCATTAAATATAGTTAAAAATCGAGGTTTCGGTTTTATTAAGACACCTGTTCAACTCATTGACCTAAAGTACAATATACGGACGGTGTAGCTACTGTATGATTGACGGGACATACACAAGAAACGGTAGCAGTCAGTGTCGGTGTAAAAAGATGAGCGTAGTTTCGATAATGGAATATACTAGTTTACAATTTACTCGAGTTCTCTGTTTCTTTGTAAACGATCATGCTGAACGACAGTCAGGAGCCTTATTAATGGTAATAAAGACTGCGCTAGGCTATCGTCAGCTATGGTATAAATGCTTAGGCAAGAATTTAAAGATTTTTCCTGATATTACAAAACACAGTTTAGCTATGCCAGATTAGGCAATTTAACTGTAACGTTGTCTGTTTTTGTACAATAAAGTCATCTCGTTTGTTTCTTTACAAAGAATACACAGAAGGCTG